TCAAGGAATGAATCCAGTTCAGGATAGTCATTTGTTTTGTGCTATAAGATAACTTCATATCGGATGCGGCTATGATCGACCTTCCTATGGTGGGAGCTTCCTACACTTGGAGCAGGGGTGGTTCCTCCCCGTCTATGTCAAGAATTGACAGATGCTTAGTTTGCACACAGTTCGACTTCATGTTTCAGAATTGCAGGTTGATCCGCTTCAACTTATATGGGGAGAGGAGGAGAAGATCCATAGGCCATGGAAATTTGAAAACATGTGGTTGGTCAACAATTCGTTTGACGATCACATGGTTGAATGGTGGAATCACCAGCCTGCAGGGAACGACGAGTTATTCATTTTGGGACAGAAATTTAAGCACCTTAAAAATGTTATAAAGACTTGGAACAAGGAGGAGTTTGGCCGAGTGGATAAGAAGATCGATGAAATTCTCCAAAAAATTAAAATGATTGACAACAAGGAGGAGATCGAACCCATCAGTGAGGAAGAGATTCTTGAGAGAAACAATCTTAAAAGCAGTCTGGATCAGGCCCTGATTTTGGAGGAAATATCATGGCAGCAAAAGTCTCGAGAGATTTGGATTAAATCAGGCGACAAAAACTCTGGATTCTTTCACCGAGTTGCCAATTACAACAAAAGGAGGAATAGGGTCGCCAATATTAAAGTGAATGGTGTCATGGTCGAGGGCAAAGAGGAACTGAAAAATGCCTTCGTGAATCACTTTAGCGCAGATTTTAGTGAAGATTGCCAAAAGCGGCCCTTTGTTGGAAACTACGGGAACTCCTCCATTTCAGAAAGTGAAGCAGAGATGCTAACTAGACCGTTTACCGAAGAGGAGGTATGGAAAGTACTCAAAAGATGCAAAGGAGACAAAGCTCCCGCACCTGATAGATTCTCGTTCGCTTTCCTTAAGAAGCAATGGGGTGTGATCAAGGAAGATATGATGAAGGCTTTTCATGACTTTGATGCTAATGGAACACTCCCAAAGTTCATTGCCCACTCGTTTATGTGTCTCATCCCCAAGAAAGAAGCAGTGGAGGAAATCAAAGATTTCCGCCCCATTAGCCTTCTCGGAAGCTTCAACAAGCTATTATCAAAGACCATAACAGAGAGATTGCGACCAATTATGATGAAGGTCGTTTCGGGTAATCAGTTTGGAGGCCTTAAAAGGCGGCAGATTCATGAAGCTTCTCTTATTGCTAATGAGCTAGTCGATAACAGGAGGAAAAGTGGTAAAGCGTGTTTGGTTTTCAAACTCGACATCGAAAAGGCTTTTGACAACGTCAATTGGAATTGTATATTCCACATCCTGGACAGCCTGCATTTCCCAGAGAAACTCAAGCAATGGATCAAAGGGTTGGTAACTTCTCCAATCCTCTCGATCCTTGTTAATGGGGAGGCGGCAGGATTTTTTAGAATTCACAAAGGACTTCGACAAGGAGATCGTATGTCTCCCTATCTCTTCCTTCTCGTGATGGACGTCCTGTCGTTTATGCTCGAAAGACTTAGAGCGGTCGTCTGGCTTAGGGGATTCTTCATGGACCAATTGAATTCCAGGGGGGAGGTTACTCATCTACTATATGCTGATGATACCATCATCTTCTGTGACGCTAACGAGGAGCAAGTGCTCAATCTTTTGTCTACCATGGTTTGCTTCCAAGATGTCACGGGACTTCGTATCAACGTTGAGAAAAACATGATGTATCCTGTTGTTAATGTTCATAATCCTGGTCTGTTTGCTTCTATTTTTGGTTGTGGGTGGAGTTACCTCCCTACTACTTACCTTGGATTGCCTCTCGGGGCGAGCCCCAATTCTACGGCAATTTGTAATGACATTCTGGTTAGGTTTCAGCGAAGACTTGAATGCTAGAGAAGCAAGTTTCTTTCCTTTGGGGGTCGAATCATTCTATGTAAGAGTTGTCTTTCGAGCCAGCCAATGTATCAACTTTCTCTATTGAAGGCTCCAAAAAATGTTTTACAGAAGATGGAAAAAATCCAGTGCAACTTCATATGGTCTGGTGTACAGGACAAGAACAAGTACCACTTGGTCCGGTGGGATGTTTGCAAAGCAGCAAAGGAAAATGGAGGATTAGGAGTGCTGGATCTTGAATGTATGAATATTGCTTTGCTGGCTAAATGGGTGTGGAAATTTGCAATGGAACCTGACTTTTGGTGGCGTCGTCTCATTGAGGCCAAGTTCCCTAATGCTTCTTCTAATTGGAGATCAGGAAATGGCGGTGGGCCTGTGGGATGCTCGATTTGGAAGCGGATTATGAAGGATGAAACATTGTTCTGGAGGTCTTCGTATATTTCTCCTGGTGGAGGCGCGTGGGTATCGTTTTGGGATGACTGTTGGATTCCGGGAACGATTCTGAAAGATGCTTTTCCTCGAGTTGCGGCTGCCGCTATCCACCATGATGCTTGGGTGTCTGACACTGTATCCTTCAAAAACGAGAGAGTGGGGTGGGATTTTCAACTTTCTGTTACGTTAAGGTGTGGGGCTGAGAGTGAAAGAACTGATCTTATGCATAAACTGTCACTGTTACCTCTTGGGTTTATTTCTGCAAGGCCTGCAAAACTCACTTGGAGTACGTGTTCGAGTGGCGACTTCAGTGTGAATTCGATGTACAAATCGCTCAACCTTGAGAGATTTCCTGGCTCTAATGATTTCCCCTTTAAGGTGGTTTGGCAGCCTGATGTTACCATGAAAATTCAAGCATTTCTGTGGCTTCTTGTGCATGGTCGAGTTCTCACCCATGATAACCCGAAAAGAAGGGGCAGGTGCATTGCGAGCATATGTGCTTTGTGCATGACGGAGGAAGAAGACATAAATCACATGTTCTGGAGATGTTCCTACAGCAGCAATATTTGGAATGCTCTGCAGCAGGCGGTGGAGGTCTTTGGTCTCTTTCCAGAAGATTTTGGCTCAATCATAAAAGGATGGACGTTCTGGAATAATAGCTCCTGGAAAAATAGAATAATTCATGGTGCTTTACATGCTTTCTCCTGTGAGGTTTGGAAAGAAAGAAATGCAAGAATATTCCAGGGCAAGTGTAAACCTTGGCAAAACACATTCCATGTCATTTGCAGGATCCTTCTCAGTTGGGTGAATGCTCTCGGCATCATGAGTGAGCGTGGTCGCGAAGAATGGCTGTCTCTAACGAAACATATTTGTCCTATTCCCGTGGCTAGCTGCCGTCAAGGAAGATATGATAGCTTGGAGTTGGATGCGGGTTAATGTCTAATATGAGTCATTGTTGTTCTCGATGGCCTCGTTACCGACTTGTTTCTTTGTGATTGTTTAGCCCAGTCTATTCTGTAAGTCGCTGGGTTTTCTTCAGCGCGCAGGAGTGGTTTGATCCGCTTAGCGTGATGGTTCAATTGAGTGGCTGATTGGTAGCTTGCTCTCTCGTTAGCTCCACCGGCTTGTCCTGACTTTTATTCTGGTTTTTTTCGATTAATTTAATCATTCACCATTATAAAAAAAGTAACTGCCGAGTCAAAAGACTCCTAAAAATTTTAAAGGGAGTTTCCAGTTTTTGCACTTGAGGAACTCTAATTTTGATGGGCGATACTTGGCAGCAACCCGAGTTGTAGCCCATAGCTGCTGCCAGGCCAGGTGGCACTTCCTGATTGGGCTACCGTTAATTTCATTTTTTAATTGCTAATCACAATGACGGAGGAACGGAACGGTAAGACTTCCGTTATTTCCATTTTTCACTGGGATTAACGGTAAGGTGCAGCAACTCCCAAATATCATAGCACTCAACCTTTTGATTTATAACCGAAACCGTTTAATCGATTCTCGGTTAATCTTTAACCACTTTAAATTTATTGTTAACCGTACCGTTTAAATTAGTTGGTTAACCGTAATCGTATATTCGGTTCTCAATTATTTTCTCAGTTAACTGGATAACTGTTAACTAAGTGATTCGGCAAGGTTATACCAAAATAACTGATCGATAAGCTAACCAACAAAAGACCTCCTTTTTTCAATTGTAAATCTTTTGTAATTTTTCATACATAGGCATGTGTTCTTTTCTTAAGTTGTTATCATTGAATAAAAAATAATTTAACATAGATATATATCAATACATAATCAACTCAATGCAACACAAGTACACAATAATCGGTTATCGGTGTAACCATTAAACCCCTGTTCCAATTTGATTATCAGTTACACCGTTAACAGAATAACCGTTTACTAGCCCTACCTCCTAGTTTCAACATAGCTCCTCCACCGCATGGTGTTATGCATGGTAAATAAATATACTAAACACAATTATTATATTTCACCATCGTTTACCACAAGTTACCATCCTATATAAGGCAAATATATTTGGTCCTAAATTTTTTGGAAAATTTGTAAAATCACAATAGGTCACTCGTTCATTATGTGTAAAATTTTAGCTAAAAATTAAATGAAAGTGGTACTAAGTGGTTCCGGGTGGTAAGAAATCGTTTTTCTTGAAATTATGTTCTTGAAACTTCAAATCTAATATCAAAAGTCATCACTTTCCTTCTTGCAATAAAATACTTAAATCAAAAGGTTGAGTAAAAATAAATAAGGCAGGCTATATATTTGGGAGCTGCTGAACCTTACCGTTAATCTTAGGGTAAAATGAAAGATTTGGATATTAAATTGTATTTACCCTTAATCCTAATAAAAAATGGAAATGACGGAGTTGTAGTTAGTAATTAAAAAATAAAATTAATGGTAGTTCAATCAGGAAGCGCCACCTGGCCCGGGAGCAGCTACGGGCTGCAACCCGGGTTGCTGCCAAGTAACGCCCAATTTTAATCAAACAACAAGCTTATAATCCGAGGAAACACATTCTGTTTGAGATTTTCCAGAGCAATATCAGCAGCAGCAAATTTGCAGAAGGATTGATTCAGGGGAGGGGATCACTTGCAGCAGCTAATTAGTTAATGGTTTGTGTTTTTATCTTCAGACCATGAAAAACTCTTTCATCCAATCTATCCAACAGTGTTTTTCCTGTCATGTCTATTTCTTCTATCCCTCTTTCCTTAGTGAAATTTTGTTTAAGATTGATCCTCATAAATTTGACAAAGAAAAAACGAAGAATGAAAATAGATTATACGAAATTGAATTATACATATTTCATATTTGTCTGAGCTCGATTATCCTGCAGCAAAGTGCGGGCAAACTAACGAGTATAGTTTAGAGGAAGTACAAAGCTTAATACATGCAGAAGGTGAAAGATAAAAGGAAATCATTACAACACAGCAACATTAGCGTACTGCTAAATGTGCTTAATATCACACTAATACAACAGCAAACGCAAGAAAAAACCCTTAGATCATCAGCTGCTAGATATGCTAATTTAACAACCACACTCCATCTCACACAATTAAGGCTCCGACTCGGACTCCGGCTCCGGCGGTGGCAGTATATCTCTGACCGCGGAGTAAAAATCAATATCAAAATTGAAATCATAATCAAAATCAGGCAGCTGGCTATGATCATCACCGTCGCGGAACAGTATCTCCGGAAAGGGCGCCAATTCCATTGTGCCGCCATGATCATTGCTGACTGCCTCTTGAAAGGACGCTTTTTGATTTCCAGAAGCGACCTGGTAAGTGCCAGCTTCTTCTTCTTGCCGAGGCAGAGTAATATTGTTGATGTTTTCGTTGGAAGGAATTATTGGCGTAATTGCCGCCTTCTTCCTCTTCTTACTTAGCTTTCTTGCTGTTATTTCAGTTTTGTTGTTGTGGTTTGAAATCTTCTTCATGATTTTGCAGAGAACCAAATCTTCTCCCACTGTCGTCTGCCCAATAGAGTTGGGAACAGAGTACTCGTGCATCGTGTAGCCCGTAGCTTGCCCGGCCGGCCTACCATAATGGAAAACCAGGCTCCTCTTGCTGCCGATCACTTCTCCGTCAGCTGCTCTCCTAATTTCGCGGTGTTTGCCGGTCGGTTTCCAGTAACCACCTCCGGTGGTCCTTTTGTACCGATCCTTGCTCGTAAAGTAGCTCCGTCGGCGGCAGAAATAATGTGATTCTTTGTACCGTTGCTCTGTCCCAAACATAACAAGAAACTCAAAAAGCATCCATCGAAGCAGGCGCGGAAAGAGAGATCGTGATGTTTTACCTCCACCGGTGGGTAGTAATTCCCACGGCTCGTGGTTCAAGATGTCGACTTCTGGGATTTGAATGATTTGATCTTCATTTCCAAGCCTCTTGGGGATCAAGTAATGACTTATCAACCGCTCGTCGCATGGACAGAACCGATTGTCTCCTTCGTCGAAGGAGTAATTTGGTGATGTGGGTAGCATGTTGTTGCTATTCATTCCACTTCCTAAAATAGGAAACTGGTCTGGAAAGACGGGAGACTGGTGATGAACTATACTACTCATTGTGATCTGGTCTGTTACTGGTATGAAACAGAGCAAAGTGAAACAGAGTGAGTCAAAAGGAGTGGAGTATGAGTAAAGCTCTATGAATAGATCAACCTGTTTCTCGGGCTGTTGGCATTTTGTTTTCAGGGGAGGTGGGGATGTAAGTGAAGCGGCGTTGTAAAAATGGTGTCCAAGTACTTATAGAGTGAACTCCGCGTTCATCTGAGGCAAGGGAGAAGAGAGGTTGGGAAAAGACAAAAGAAAGCAGAGACAACAACGTAGTCTCGAAGGGGTTGTGTTGTGTTCCTTTACTGCTACTGTTCAACTCTTGGTCTCCAAGGCACTTCTCTAGGAAGGTCTGGTACGGATTGCAGAGACTTTAACAACCGAAGAGAATCTTTTTAGTAAAAGGGCCAATCTCCAATGAGTTCTGGAATTTTCTTCTGTATGTGGGGTGTGCCTTTGTAGTTCTTGTCCTGTTATCCACTTAATTAATAATATGGAAATGATGGTGCATTGTTTTTTCACCACAATGTCTCTGGAGCTTTTTCAGTTTCATAATGAAGCGTATTCTAAGGTTCCAGAATGTTCCAAGAAACATATCCAAGCCATTTCGTTGGAGGAAAAAAGGCAATGTTTTAGACCTTCCACTGCAAGTAGTAGTGGTGATTGGCTAGCTTTAATTTTTTTTTTTTCAAAAAACAAATAGACACGACATTGACTCAAGTTCGGAGAATGAACATATGATACAGACGCAAATGATATAACAATAAAATAACTCTTCTCCAAAATAGCATGAGTCAGCAAGAGTGTAACTTTCTTTTCTTCGTCGGGACATGTCAGAAGATTATTTGCGAGTTGCTACCAAATATCACAATAAGTAATGCATTACACGTCATCTCATAAAATTTAATGAGAAAGTAAATCAAATAAAGGTATCAAAGATTGATAAAAACTTATTTCACTTCCTTGATGTACCTTCATAGCACTTAATTCTCATGCAAAGTGACTTGCCAAAAAGATAACCATTGTGGTAATAGAAATATCTAATATCCAACACCAATAGAGTGATTCAACTTTTGAGCAATAATATACACTAAAACCTCTAAAAATTAATAGTCGGTAAATTAATAATATAGTATGAAATAATAATTTATTCGGTCCCAACTTGAGTCAATATAACAAATGAGCAAATGTGATAAAATAATATGATAACAATTGTATAGAACCAACTACATACACACATGCATTTTCAATTTTATAAATTCATAATTATAAATTACTAATCAAGAAATTTACAAAGTAACAATGATATCTAGAAAAAATACGGATCAATAGTTATTTTCTTCTTCTTGAAGTTCAAGTATAGTAAAAGTTTATCTTGAACTTTTTCATTGCACTCAATACAATTATTTACACATTTGATAGGTCTTGGTAGAATTTTGGACATCTTTCAAATGAGAAGTCATCCTTGAATCTGATTTTTAGTAACATTTATATTAATCACCACATATTTGATGAATTATATTAAATGCATGATTAATGAATATAGAGTAGCAACTAAATGATAATATAAATTAGACCATATATAAAAATGAGCAAATTGCAAGTTTGCTCATATTACTAATTTATTTCAACGTTTGTCACATGTTTTTTTTAATATTATTAGTAGTCATTGAAATTAATTCAATATTCCAAATTTGGTCAATGACCGTTATCTTCCAATTGGTTGTCGCATTAAGGTTGATTGGGATTGCGAAGTAGATCCGATTGGGGCTTTTTTTAAGGCTAAACGGGTCAAGAAGGAATGGCTAGGACACGGGTTGGGTTAGGGTTTCTGACGTTGCATGATTTATGAAGTGGCGAGCCGCTTTTTAATTTTTCTAGGTTAAATTTGGGTGAGTCGGCAATTCTCGTAGCGACGTCGTAACAAACTAATGTCGTAGACTCCTCTAACGGAATGTAAATGACAGTGACCAAACTTGGAATATTAAATTAGTTTTAATTGCTACTAATGGAATAAAAAAATTAAGTAAAAAACTTTTAAAATCCTATTCATACATGGTGTGCTAATTTTATTTTGCTACAAGACTGCTATTACGTTGGTTGCTTTATTAGCCTTACGACCCATAAAATATTGAATTGAAGCCGACCCACAAAAGAAGTTGATGTCATGCCCCTTAAATGAAAGCCAATCCATGGGCTTGAAGTTTGCACAGGCCCGCCATACCATGTGTTTGAAGACAACTGCTAACATTGGGAGTCGTGGAGATTTGAACACACGACCACTTGGTCAAACCAGTTCTAATACTATGTCAAAAATCAGTTGGTTTTAGTAACTCGAGTTATTGTGAGAAGATTATGCTGGATCTTATACCACTTTTTAACACTGGATTACTAGCAAACCATCGGATCCGACTCCACTAATCCAGGGAGGAAGTGAAGCCGGCGATCCACCTCCATCCTAATACCGAAAGCCTCCGCCTCTGCAAACCCTGGTAGCCATGGCCTTGTCGTTCTTCTGACCCCCGCCAGAAAAAATTTTCCCTTGTCATCCCTTATCACTACCCAAAGCCAAACACTACAATCAAAGATCCCTTATCCTATGACGATTAAAATGTTTATCATAGGAGGTTCCCATCTGATCGATCACTGCATGCCGGCAGTAAGTTTTTTCATTCAGTGCTTCTTGTAATACTCAACCAATGATTCACTCGGTCGACAATTTACCATTCTTCCTTCTACTCTTTATTTCACAAGTGACAATTTCGTGTATCCCAGATCAACAAGATGGCAACCAAGAACAACTCCAGCCCCTCTTTTTGATTCCAGCTCTCGGAAAGCGCAAACCCACTCTTCACAATCAGTATCTCTTCTTCTTTAAAAAGATAGCTAAGTGAAGTATGTTCCCATATCCTTTAAATGCAGCCACATGTTGAAATATGGCAAGTCTGATTTGCCGATTCTCGGACCGTTGCAGATGCTCTAAAAAGGGAAGTGCATCAATCAAGAAAATCAAGAGCTTCTCTCCAACGGCTAGCTTCGGTGCTCAATATATTCAGAGGAAGTCTCTTGTATCATTGACTTTTGTACGAACCAAAGCTAGTGGTATAGGACTGAGCTTTGATTTATAGAAGGGTGGACAGTATAGGGTAGAGGTTCTATACTGTGGTGGCAGAACAGATCGGGTTGTGATCCGGGGAGTATTCATTAGTTGTTAATCTTTCTATTTGTCTTGAGTCTGTATTCATTTTATTTCAAATTTGCTTGATAGGAAAATCAATAAAAAAAGTCTCCTAGATCTCAGTGGGTACTGAGTCTAGGACGAGGAATGACCAATAGTTGGGAACCTCGTTAAAATTCCACTGTGTCTCTTTCTTTATGTTGTTCTCTCGTTCTGCATTGTGTCTGTTCTGTGTTGCTCTGTTTTCGTAGTTTAACCAGAAACTCAGTTTCCAGTGGCAGATCCAGGGGGAGGCCACCTCGGGCCACGACCCAGCCCTCCTCTGGATCCGAAGCTAGTGTAGCCCTTATTAGTTTATCGGTTGTAGTCATTCGGCCCAGTGTTATTTTATAATAAGATTGTGTGTAATTAGGAAAATGTGTCAGATGAACATATTCTAAACACAGCTCTAAATTTAACCTAAAAATTCTAACTCCAATGATTCTCGCCTAAAGAAAAACAAGAAATGAAACCTAAAATTCTAAAAGTAAAAAATGTAAAAGATTAAAAGGAATATGAGGTTTGTTCACTTGAAAAATTACTAGAGTAGCTGGTGAAAATAGGGATTGACACAAAAATATATATATTGATTAGTCGATTGATTTGTCTAGTGTTGACATTGCTCGTTTCAACAACTACGGAGAGAACCTTTTCACAAATGAAATAGGTGAAAAATTATCTACGTAATAAAATGAGCGATGAATTTCTCACCAATTGGTTAACTATTTTATCATAAAGAGAGTATGCTATTGGTATGGATGTAGACTCCATTATTGATGAATTCACTATATTAAAATTTAAAAAGATCAACATGTACAATTGATATAGTAAAAAAATTTATGATTTTCATACGGTATCTAATTTTCTAATAAAATGCGGGCCCAGTGTTCTACTGTGTCTTGGATCCGCCGCTGTCAGTTTCTAAGGTTGCTGACCAAGAAAGAAGACAGGCTCTGGTCCTCTTAGTTTGTTTGTCTGGGCCTTTTTCAAAAGCCCATTTCCATTTAATTTGTCTTTATTTCCGTTTAGTGAGCTCTGTTTTCGTGGAGCCCAGACTGAAGGGGAGACCGAAATTGAGAAGAAACAAACATGTTTCTTCATTTCGATCATATTCTCATTTCCCCTTCATCACTGTTTGCTCTTGGCAAGAACCCTAGTTCATCCCTGCAATTTTTGATTTCACTACAAACTCTGAAAATATGGAATTGAGTTTCTTTCAGCACGCAAGAGGGCACTCCTCACTGCCTCCAGTCACTTGATCCAAAATGTTTCCTCCTGTAGGTAGTATATTGTTAATCGATTTCCATGCATAAGCTCGTACCTTAGGCGGCATTTGTAGTCGCCAAATCTCACTCCACTTAACAGCTGGCACATTGTTTAGGCGTAGGGAGACAAAGCTTGATGGATCCTCCAAGTCGTAGGAAGGTAGGAAATCAATAGAGATCATGTTGTCAACCACTTGATAACCCGATCATAACTCTAGGATTCCTCCTCTATATAAAGAGGATCGAAAGAATAAGAAAGAAGCCAAGGTTTGAATAGAAAATAGAGTCCTGATGGACGAATGATTCGTCCATCACGTAAATCGTAAGAACCAGAAAACTAAAGAGATAAGATTAGGGTTTTTATTCTTCATTGACTGATTAAAATTTAGAAACCAAGTACATATTTATAGGATAATCGGAAAACCTAATCACTTACCAATTCTACAAGGATAGAGTAACTTAATCCTAAAGAAACTACCATAAATACTTAATTAATTAATACGATTCCTAAACAATATCTAAAACCGATTCATAAACTAATAATAATAATGATAATTGGCTGCCGAGAATGATAATGCATCAATCCTCCCCCCCTTCGAAGAACTTCGTCCCCGAAGTTCGAGCGATGTCTCCACCCAGTTCAATGAGGAAGAAGCTTCCGCACAGCTTGTGATGAATGACAGTGAGAGTTAGACACCGGGGAATGCGTTAGGATGAATACTAGGTTTTTAGTAACCATCATGGCTATCTACATCTAAACCGTTCATTAACTCTATTTTTTCCTTTTTTTTAAAATGACGGTCAATATTAAATTAAGGATAATTTGGGAATCAATAATATCACACAAGATTATTAACTATATTTATAACTTACTTTCTCCGACCCTACGTCTGCCCTCACCTCCCTCCCACCTCTCCTCCCGCCGGCCGCCTCCCCACCCCACCCCATCCCATGACCCTCTCTCTCTCTCTCTCTCTCTCTCTCTCTCTCTCTCTCTCTCTCTCTCTAACAGCAGGAAGGAGCCGATGGGATCGCGAAGGTCGTCAAAGCAATCGCCAGTGCTGGTCATCCTTTTATCTCCGACCCTCTCGTCTCAATGGTATTGTTTTTTGTCGCATTGGTATTGATTTGTTGTATTGGTATTGTTTTTGTCGCATTGGTATTGATTATCATGTAATGATATTAATTTGCATGTATTGGTATAGATTAAATCAACAATGGTATTGATTTTTTGTGAAATGATATAGATTTATATTGGTAGATTGTTTATACTGGTAGTTTTCGTGTAATGTATAGATTTATTAATGCAATGGTATTGATGTTTTTCAAAGTGGTAGTGGTTGTCTAATGGATTGATAGTGATTTCACGTTTTTTTATTTTGCAGAAAGACTGAGAAAAATAAGGGAAGATGATCTGGCTGGAGATTACGGAAGTGAGAGAAAAAGAGAGAATTATAATTAACAGATTTTTGTAACCAACTAAAATGTAATTTATTAAAAAAATTTATTTTCCATACCCAATTTACCCTTAGTAATCATCGTAACCTGTCCATAGACACCGGAGCTTGTTAATTGTGGAGCAAGATTCGGCCAGATTATCGTGTACCACAAGGACACGGAGACCTTGAGGGTTAAGTTATGTTGCCCTATAAATATTCTAATGTGTTGAGAACTATATATGGCATTCAATCTGTTAATAATAATTCAAAAAACTTGAGAGGGAGATCCTATCCGTGGACTAGTGTCATATTGACGATACCACGTTAAAAAAACTCTTGTGTTCTTGTTCATTAATTCATGTTTGGCCTGATAAATTAACATGGTATCAGAGCCTGATTCGTTAATCGTCTAGCTCGTTTGATATGATTTCTTCGGCGGCATCAGTTTTTTCGTCAATTCATTCCGAGACAGCAAGCTTTTGTCTTGCCTTTTGTGTGCTGCTGGGCTTCTTCTATTCCTATTCGCTGGGTTTGTTTTCTCTCTTCATATTCCTTTGTTGAAGAGCTTCGCTGATTCGGGTAATTCTAGTCCTTTATTGGCCTTGTTTTTACCTTGGTTGCTCGTCCTTTTTCATCTTTATTCAACCGAAGCTGGTGTGTGGTTATCTTGGCATCATGGATTCTTCAAAATCAAATATGATGTTTTCCCGTTTTGATGAAAAATGTTTGCATTGTGGGAATTTCAATTCTGCAACTTCATCGAAGGGAAACGTTTACTCCCTATTATGACCGGATCGTTACCTAAGCCTGGGGAGACAGCTGAGGCCAAGGTAAAGGAGGATTGGGCAGCGGGTAATGCACAAGTTATCACCTGGCTTACAGCCTATGTTGATCCGCTCACTGTTCTTACTCTGTGCCGATTTTCTACAGCGGCAGAGATGTGGACTCATATTCGTACCACTCATTCTCGGGTTAATTATTCTCGACAGTTTCAGCTGGAAACTGAGCTAAGTCAGCTCTCACAGTACAGGGAGATCGTGATATACGTTCCTATTATCATGCTTGCATTCATCTATGGAAAGAACACGACTTGTTGACGTCATCTCTTTTATCTGCAACTGCGTCAGCAGCGATAGTACAGGAGAGGGCTCGGTCTAGGCTCATGCAGCTTATGATGAAGCTTAGGCCAGAATTTGAATCTATCATAGCCTCTCTAATCCATCGTAATATTAGTAACATAGATGAAGTGGTTGCGGAACTCGTTCGCGAAGAGACACGTCTTAAGTGTCAGTTGTCATAGATCATCCTGCAACATCATCTGATTCCTCTGCCTTTGCTGTAGGAAAATCTGGTGGCTCATCTCGTCCACAGTTTCAACGTGGAAATTATAGCAATGTGACCTGTCACTTTTGTCAGGAGGTTGGGCATATTCAACCTCATTTCAAAAAACGCAATATTTGTTCATACTGTGTGGTGCTTAACCACTTCCTTACACGCCTCCTCAAACGAAAGCCGACTCATGGGCTTGAAGTTTGCACAGGCCCCCCATATCATGTGCTTGAAAGACAACGGTTAATTTTGGGGTCGTGAGGACTTGAACACGTGACCTCACGGACAAACCAGCTCTGACACCATATTAGAAACCAGTTGGTCCCAATAACTCGAGCTGTTGGGAGAAGATTATGTCGGATCTTATACAAGTCCGTGTGTGGTGCTTAACCACTTCCTTACATACTGTTGTTAGTGTTGTGGTATATGATTCACGATTGAACCTCTCCCAACAACTCGAGTTATTGGGATCAACTGGTTCTTGACATGGTATCAGAGCCTTCTGTGACCGAGATGTCTTGTGTTCGATTCCCGGTGACCCCCATTTGTTAAGCACATGGTATTCTTGTCTTCAGACCTATGCAAACTTCAAGCCCTTGTGAGCGGCTTTCGTTTGAGGGGGCGTGTTAGTGTTGTGGTATATGATTCACGATTAAACCTCTCTCAACAACTCGAGTTATTGAGATCAACTGGTTCTTGACAACTACAAGGTCCCGGGTCGCATTATATTTGATTGTCCAACATTAGCTCGACGTGGGAAGAAGGGTAGTAATAGCACCTCTCGGCCTGGCTATGCTGTGGAGAGTTCGGCAGTCTCATAATCATCTTTTTTGTCTGAGGCTTCACAACCTACGGCTGGGAAATCCTCATCAAATGCTAGTGCAATGTCCCCTGATATAATTAGGCGATTAGTGCAGGAAGCATTGCAAGAAGTTCTTCCCATGGCTCTTACCTCCGCATTTTCAACAGGAGCTACGTCAGGTAATACATCTCGTTGGTTATTAGATTTCGCAGCTGGTTATTAGATTGCGCAGCTTTTAATCACATGTCTCGATCTCGTTCTAGATTTGCAACCATGGAACCAATTTCGGATATGCATTTAAAAGTAGCAAATGGAGCCAAAATCCCGGGAGGATCTTTGTGCTAGACTCCCTCGAGAAGGAAACTGGGAAGGAGGAGTTTTCTGGGAAGGAATTTTCTATTCAAGTTGATGAGAATAATTGTTTATCTGTTGCGCCAGATTTTTCTTCTGATTTGGATTTTAGTTTGGATTCTTTTGGGTATGCTATTCGACCCTTGGATTTTTCGGTTAAGTCGACTGTTTGGGATTTGTGGCATTGTCGATTGGGTCATCTTCATTCGGCTAGATTATTTAGTATGTTTCAAAACAATATTTTGTCGGTTAAAATTGATTCGACATACTCTCCTTCAGTTTGTGTAAGTTGCATTGAAACAAAAGCTACTCCATCTTTCTTCTCGAGCAACACAACAGTTTATGAGGAAGCTTTTGATTTGGTGCACACTGATCTCTGGGGACCATCCCCAGTCACGTCTCTTATGGGGTTTAATTACTTCGCCCTCTTTATAGATCATGCAACACGGTATACGTAGGTTTATTTCTTACTTCAGAAATCGAATCTGCTGAATTGTGCCATGGAGTTTGTTATGGGACAATCCAAGTACCACATCGGTTATACAAGGGAAGGAACCCTTGTATATTAGTGTCCACCAATCTCATTAGTACGAGGCCTTTTGGGGAGGACACCCAAGAGTAAAACCACGCGGGCTCGGCCCAAAGCGGACAATATCATACTAATGGGCTGCCCAGTTATGACAAGTGGTATCAGAGCCTGGTTCGGCAGATCCGGGGCGGTGGACGTCAGTTCGGTGGACCCTCGCTGGGTGACCTCGGGGTTTGAGATCTGCATCTGGTTTGGTGGATCCAGGAGAGATCCACGTTTGGGCTTGGCGGATCAAAGAGAGTTCCGCATTTGGGAAGCAGATCAAAGAGAGCCCTGCGTCTGGTAAAGTCCTTGTATCGAGAAGCCCATCGATAGAAGGCATCTGGCGGATCAAGATAATCGCTGAGGTGAGGACACGATGTTCGTGGTCCTTGGCTTGAGGGGAGGATTGTAATGGGACAATCCAAGTACCACATCGGTTATACAAGGGAAGGAACCCTTGTATATTAGTGTCCACCAATCTCATTAGTACGAGGCCTTTTCGGGAGGACACCCAAGAGTAAACCCGAGCGGGCTCGTCCCAAAGCGGACAATATCGTACTAATGGGCTGCCCAGGTATGACAAGTGGTATCAGAGTACAAATTTAACGTGGTTCACTAACACAATGTGTGCTATCTAATCCACGAGCAGGGGGGACAAATTTCACTGATTTGAGGAGAGTAAAGGTTACAAACCAAATTCCAAACAGACAAACCAAACAAACTAACCCTGACTGACCCCTACTACAAACTAGGGTGATGAAGAGTATTTATAGAACTCTTCTCCTAATCCCAAACAGAAACCCAAACACTTTTTCCCATACATACAAGGAAAAGGTCAAACAAAACCCAAACCCAAACACAAACACAAACAAAATAGGCCTAAAACACAAAACAAACTCAAATCAAATTCAAGTCATATTCAAACAATCTCCACCTTGACTTGAATTCTCTGTCAAATACCAGATGTACCAAACGCAACCAAAGTTGCCAGATGTACCCAGACGCGATACCAATCGCCAGACGTATCCAAATGCGATCGAAACCGCCAAACTCAAACGCAATCAAGATTGCCAGACATATCCAAATGCGATTCATAACCAAACGCGATGCAAATCGCCAAACTCAGATGAAATCAAAATTGTCAGACGTACCAAACTCCTCCAAATCAGTTGTACCAGAATCTCCCCTGCCTCCAAATGCCCCTAAGGGCGATCCACAACTCAAACCATTCGGCAATTCCAATCCATATTGAGACTTGTCATTCAGAACCAACTTGGTCTTATTTCTGTCCATAACACCAACATCAAATTTACTGCTAACTCCAAGCCTGCAACTCCAAATTGACTTCTCGATCTTCAAATCCAGAACAAACATCCTTGGTGATCGAAAACCCTAATCACCACCAAGGGAAACAAACAGAATTCTCCCCAAACCACAAGCTATTACTGAACACAATAAATTCAAGTAATTGCTTCCAAATTCCAATTGATCCGCCAACTAGCTCTCTCGTCGATTGCGCAGCCGATCAACCAGGAGCGCGATCCAAAATCCCCCAAGACATTTTCAAATAACCCAAAGATCAACCGCGGTTCTGATACCACTTGTCATAACCGCTGTAGAGGTATGGATTAAATTGATTGGAATATGTGAATTAATCTGGATAGGATAGGTAGTGAATCCTGGTGTTTCTCCCAGAGCTTTCTCCATTGAATTTCTCCCGACCATTTTACTTAATTTGTTTAGTTTATTTTGCTTTTAGATAATTATTCTCATTAAACCATTTTCACATATAGTTTGCTCATTAAAAATTAATAGAACTTAAGGTTGTACCAGTCCCTGAGAGACGATACCCGGACTCTCCATCTTCTTCAACGGAATCAGAAGACAATTTCGAGATGCTCTGAATAATACTTCCCGAAATGGTTTCACAAGAATGGAAGCACCAGAAGCATATGAACTGGTGGAGAAGATATGCTCTGAAGATACTGAATGGGGTACTGAGACCGGCATTCGAAGGAGAGGAGGCTTGCATGAGATAGACAGAGTTGCAAGCTTAGAAGCAAAGATTGATGCTAAGCTGGATTCCAAGTTCGATGCACTCGAACGAAGGCTGGCTAAGTTGGCTCTTGGTAGACAGGAGGAGGTTGCTTATTGCGAATTATGTGAAGATGCTCATCATAGGGATCTATGTCCACTGGTGGATGATCAGGTGGAAGATGTGCACTATATCAACAATCAAAGAAATCAAGGCCAGGGTGGTATGTATTCGAATACCTACAACCCACAATGGAGGAAGCATCCTAACTTTTCCTGGGCGAACAACAACCCAAATGGTGCTCGCAACATTCCACCTCCAGGCATGCAGAAACAACAACCTCCACCTCAACCAGAGAAGAAACCACAACTTGAAGAATTGCTTCTGGCTCACATGCAGAAAACCGACAATAATCTGAAGGGCCTGGATCAGTTTGTCACTCAACAGCTAGCCATCAACAATAATTTACAATCTTCTATGCTAGCTATGGAGAGGCAAATAGGCCAGATGGCTCAAACTTTGGCAGATATGCAAGGCAGGATTCCTGGGACATTACCAGCAAATACTGAGAGGAATCCGAAGGATGCCATGGTTGTAGCAGTGACATTGAGGAGTGGAAAGGCCTTGGAAGACCCTAGCAGCTCGAAAAAGGCACCAGAGGCAGAAGATGAAGCACCGGGAGAAAGATCTTGTGCAGAAAATGAAGAATCAGCCTTGCACAGGCAAAATGAAAGTAGTTTGCCTGTGCAAAAGCATGCTGCCCGTGTACCTCAAAAAGTGGAAAAATTGAAGAATGAAGAGGTAAAGCCTTATGAACCTCCCGCGCCATTCCCTCAAAGGTTAATGAAGCCCATGGAAGACCCAAACTTCAAGAAATTTGTGAATATCTTCAAGCAACTTCAGATTAACATACCCTTGGCGGAGACACTTGAACAGATGCCTATATATGCTAAATTCTTAAGGGAGTTGCTGACAAAGAAGCGGAAATGGGCTGATCTAGAGAAGGTAACCCTTACTTCTGAATGTAGTGCTGTGATTCAGAATAAATTACCAGAAAAGAGGGATGATCCGGGCAGTTTCACCATTCCATGTGTCATTGGAGGTACAGAGTTCAATAAATCACTTTGTGATCTTGGAGCAAGAATTAATTTGATGCCATACTCAGTCTACAAGAAATTGGGATTGGGAGATGTTCTTAAGCATACTCGGATCACTCTCCAATTGGCTGATCGATCAGTGAAAATTCCAAAAGGAGTGGTAGAAAATGTATTGGTGAAGGTGGGGAAGTTTATTCTCCCTACAGATTTTGTGATTCTGGAGATGGAAGATGATCGGGGAGTGCCTCTCATTCTCGGCAGACCTTTTCTAGCAACCGGTGATGCACTCATCGATGTCGGGAGAGGCAAGTTGACATTCCGAGTAGGTAAGGAGGAGGAAATTTTTAATGTCTTTCAAGTTGATCATAATCACGATGCATGTGATGACTTTGAAAGTGGAAGTCGAGAAAGGAAAAATTCCTCTTCCTGTGATAGTGGACCATCCGAAGAACTATCACCTATCATATCTGCTCAGATTCTGAAGTCAAAGCAAGGGCAGAAATCCTTGCCAGGTCACCTCAAGTATAGATATTTGGGTAAGGATTTCAACCTTCCTGTTATTATTCCTTCTTCACTGACATTGAAACATGAAGAGTACCTGCTTGAGGCGCTGCAGTACCACCTACGCCTCACTAAAGGGTCCAACATGCAAGCTAAGAAGGTCATACCCAATTTTCGCACACCTGGCCCTGCTGAGGTGACTCATATGTTGGATGGAGGTTATGCGTTCTATCATTGCTCGGGAGGGTATGCTGGATACCTTTCCATACCCATTGGTTGAAAGCTCCATAAACGTCAGGCTGAGGACGTTAAACAAGCGCTTCTTGGGAGGCAACCCAAGGTAAGTTTTCTTTTCTTTATTTTCCTTTTTAGTTGTGTCAAACCCGTGCATGTTTAGATTAGGAGTTGAACATTAGGGACAATGTTCCATCCTGAGTGTGGGGTGGCGAGTCTTAGTGTTTGTTTGTTCCTTTTGTCATGTGGTCGGTAAAAAAAATTAAAAAAAAAAAAATTGCCATTGGTGAGTCTTAGTGTTTGTTTGTCCCTGTTGCATGTGGTAAAAAAAAAACCCAAAAAAAAAATCTGTCATTTGGCTATACACAGCCAAACTGCATGCAGTTTGCCTGTGTAAAAAGCAGTCTGCCTGTGCAAAGCTAATGGCTAAAAAACAATTAAAAATCAGAAAAATTAAAAACAAAACCTTGTACTCTTGTGGTAACATGATGTAAATGACTGTGATGCATGTGAAATGAGTTTGTGCTTGAATGAAATCATCAAAATCACCCCACTAGTGTTGAATTGCATGGTTCTTCACAATGAGCTTGAATGTTTTGACTGACTTGATATGCTTTGAATGAGCAAACTCTTTTAGCAACATTCTCTTTTGTGAGGATAGTGTAATGACTTTTGGTGAAGTAGTTAGGTGGAGAACATTGACCATTCGATATGTTTGGATACCGTGCTTACTTGCATCAATTGTGAGCTTTTGATTTGGCAACGAGTCTCTCTGTTTTGATGGTTTTATGATGGGGTGAACTGTATCTTCATAAAAGAAAACACTACCTGACAAGTAAAATATAAGAAAGTTGCCATAACAATTAAAGTGTGGGTAAAAATGCCAAAATCGTGTGAGGCAATCACTCATTGCACATGGGGATGAGGAAAGATTCAATTGAGAATCGGTTCGCGACCGTACGATGTTGCTTATCAAGTACGATCCCCAGTTGAGTGAAGTGCCATTTGAGGAGCAATGACCCTCCACACGGACCGAGGAAATGGAGTTAAAAGAAGCCCTTATGCGAGTGCTAAGAAGCAGAAATTGCTCTTGCTCGGTCACCGGTAGTAAGAAACAAATCCCACTTGTACTAAATACGACTTCTCGGCAAGCAAAAGCAGAAAGAGAGAAAGCCTCTCCTTGTCATAAAAGGTAGTGATGTGCTTAAAGTTAAAATCATGTTTGCGAAAGGCTTCCCCCATTAGTTTTTGAGACTCATGCTTAATTAATTGTTTATGATTGGTGTGAGTAAGCCAGACTGTCCTCACGAGATATGCACCTCACTGATGTGGTTAGAGTCTCCTAATAATTGCTGCACCATAAGTTGTTAATCACCCGCTACCGACGATCGAAATTGAGTGTTGCAATTTGAGTTTTGTGTGGATTGGAGTCAGTCAATGTTAAGTGGTTGCAAAGACCTTGAGTGTGGGGTGAAAGGAATGATCATTAAAGCACAACTTATCCTTTGAGAAAGAAACTACTGATTACAACAAGAGTACAAGGAAAATTCTGCGTTGTTTTTAGTGGTGAGTCTGTAATGTGTCATTGTTTTGGATGGTTATGTGTTCGTGTCTTTTGAGTCGTTGCTTAGGGACAAGCAACAATTGAGTGTGGGGTTGTGATATTCGGCTTTAATATATCGGATTCTTGGACTTTATGTGATTATCTCATGGTATGTTTTAGCCAATTGGTGCTATTTTAGGGCTCGCTAACCCGAGAATGGTTGAAAAACCATTACCGCCTAGTGCCATGAGTTTGATATGATACAGGTGGAGAAAGCACGAAAAAGGAGCGAGTGCACAAGCAATAAATCGGGCTCGAATTATTGGTGGACTACTCACTTGGGCTCAAGGCCCAGAGGACTTAATTGGACGGAGGCCATTCTGGGGAGCACTAATCTTGGGCCAGGATGTATTAATTGGATGGGCTGGGGACAATGCTTTGGGCGAGAGAATTTGGTGGAGGAAGGGAGTTATTTGGGCCATTCTTTGGCGGAACAAGAAAAAAAGAAAGAGACAAAAAAATCTCTGGGGACGAAATTCTTCGGAGAAAAGGACGAGGGAAATAAAAGGCTGGGGCGAGAGGCAAATTTCTAGAGGGGACACGGAATTGAATTGGTTTTTTGGGCGAGAACTCATTGGAGAAAGCGAAGGCAGCGCACGGAGCAGCAAGCTTGGGACGCGATTGGCGATTGGCAATTGGCGATCTGTCTTTCCAAGGTTTGAGCTGAATTCAACGAGAGCGATTAGTTGGTTGGATTTTTTAAATCGAATTAGTTGTTTCTTGTTGATTTAGAACATGATGAACAAAACCCTAATGTTTTATCTTAATTTCGTCATGAACTAAACCCCAATTTATGGGGGAAACACCATAGGATGTAGCTATTTCTTGATTTGATGGATTGATTTATGATTCTTTTCTTCCAATCTCTATTGCATGAAATTTCTTAATGCTTTGTGTTGACTAGCCACCAATACAACGATTTGTAGCTAATTAGGTTATTAGCGACAGTGAAACCCTAATAACTGAACATATTTCATGTGACATAGTAACTTATCGAAGCGACAGTGGATTAAATAAGGTGCTATGTGGTCTTAAATAGGATATCGATCTTCAGGCTAAATAATTAACTCATTGAGCTACGACAGTAGGATTTGATTTAATTGTTTAGTACGTAGTAATTCCCGACAGGGATAGCTAGCACATTCGTGATATCCTGGCTGTAGAGGTATGGATTAAATTGATTGGAATATGTGAATTAATCTGGATAGGATAGGTAGTGAATCCTGGTGTTTCTCCCAGAGCTTTCTCCATTGAATTTCTCCCGACCATTTTACTTAATTTGTTTAGTTTATTTTGCTTTTAGATAATTATTCTCATTAAACCATTTTCACATATAGTTTGCTCAATAAAAATTGATAGAACTTAAGGTTGTACCAGTCCCTGAGAGGCGATACCCGGACTTTCCGGTTTACTACGAGATAGGAAATTGGCATATACGCTTTTGCCCTATCAATCGACATGGAAATTACTCTTCTGGGCTTCCTCTCGAGAGCTCCAAAGCACATCAATGGAAATATAAACTCTTCATCTTCTATACAAGACCTTAAACTCGAATTTTCATTAAGCCAATAACAAGTTCTCGACGTGCAAAGTTGGCTAGCTGAAACTATAAAAGAACTTGGCCAAAATTCAGTGTTCTTTAATGTACTTTGCTTATCTTCTTGATCAATCAATTCCAGCTTGATTGAGGGCCAATTTGGGATCATATCATCAGCTTGATGTAAAAAATGCCTTCTTACATGGAGATTTTAAGGAAGACATTTATATAGAGTGTCCAGTCGGATCATTATATGGTCTCAAACAAGCACCTCGAGCTTTGTTTGAGAAGTTTCATGGTACCATTATACAAGCAAGTTTCTCTCAAAGTGACAATGATCCGTCTCTTTTAATTCGACGGACAGTGAATGGAGTTGTGGTGTTACTTCTCTACATTGATGATATGGTGATTAGTGACAGTGATTATGATGGTATTCAGGAGCTCAAGAAATCATTGCATAGTGCTTTTAATCTCAAAGATCTTGGCGATGTTTCTTATTTCTTGGGACTTGAAGTACAGCGATCAGTGTCGGGTTTGTTTGTGAGTCAGAAAAAGTATGTCGAAGATCTTTTGGTCTCAGCTCAGTATAATGATTGCAAACCTTGTGCCACACCCATGGAGCAGAACCTAAAACTTAGTCGAGAGGATGGTGAACTACTTGAAGATCATACGATGTATCGAAGCGTAGTAGGGAGCTTAATATATCCGACTCACAATCGAGCAAATATTTCTTATACAATTCAGATCCTCAGTAAGTTCATGGGCGTTGCTCGAGCGCCACACTTAGATGTTGTTCATAGATTGCTTCACTAATTGAAGCGTACTATTGATGTTGGCTTGTTATTTTCTTCAAAAGGGGAGCATGTTATAGAGGCCTTTGCTGATGCCGATTATGCAGGGTGTCAAGATGCTAGACGGTCAACTTCAGGCTGGTGCATATGTTTTGGTCAGTCTTTTGTGTCATGGAGGTGCAGATAACATGATAAAGTGTCAACTAAAGCGGAGTATCGATCTATGTCAGAAACAGGGTCAGAATTGGTTTGGTTGAACGTATGGTGCAAGAATTGGGAATAGATTGTCATATGCCAATGAGGATCTATGGAGATAATTAATACTAGTGCACTACAAATTGCGATCAACCCGAGTTTTATATGAAACAACAAAGCACATTGAGGTACATGTTCATTACATACGACAACTGGTTGCCGAGGGAGTTGTACAACTTGTGTATTTGCCGAAGGAGGATCAAACTGCATATGTGTTGACCAAGGCTTTGAGCTCAAGTAGACATTGGTATCTCTCTTCCAAACTGATGTTCCGCACCGTGTACCACAATTTGAGTGAGGGTGTTAATTGTGGAGCAAGATTTGGCCAGATTACCGTGTACCACAAGGACACGGAGACCTTGAGGGTTAAGTTATGTTGCCCTATAAACATTGTAAAGTGTTGAGAACTATAGCATTCAATCCGTTAATAATAATACAAAAAACCTGAGAGGGAGATCCTCTCCGTGGATTAGTGTCACCTTGACGATACCACGTTAAAAAAACTCTTGTGTTCTTATTTATTAATTCATGTTTGGCCTGATTAATTGACAGAGCTACGCTTTCGATATTTCCAATTCAGCTTCAACACCAAATCCAATCCTCCAATGTTAACAACTTCAATTCGACCCAAATCATTCCCACTCGGATCGAAACACATGATGCTTCCTGACCAAGCAATATACCAATCCTCCAAAAGCCACTCCTCCTGTATTCCTTCATCCTCACGTACCACCAGCTCAATCAAAACATATGGGTGCAAAGATAGGAGGAATTTTACAATGCTATAGGTTTTTGCCTTTATGGTACAACTTGAAATTATACCTTCAACATTATGGTACAACTTCATATTGTACCTATACTTTTTGTACAAATTCTTTTATGGTACAACTTGAACTTGTACCGTTATGTGATGGTACAACTTTAAGTTGTGAAGTTGTACCATAACATAATGATACAAAATGCTTTATGGTACAAACTGAACTTATACATTTAACGTTATGGTACAACTTTAAATTGTACATTAAAGCACCAATACTTTATAGAAGTGCTCCATGGATATATCTATAGAAAAAGGAAAGTTAGAAGGAGCTGAATTTTTATTACGTGCCACAAGGGTATTGATGGCTTCTTCATTGAATTCCCCAAGCCCATGCGGTGCCGCAACACATCCATGTACTCCATTCGGCCATTGCTTTGGACCCCTTAATGTCCCCTTTGATGTAGGGTAACGCCACGATTCCCCGGCGTCCTGTACGACCTCCCTCGGCAGGTATTGACCAAGAATTTCGATGAGGATCAAAGTTGACAGCGGCGATCTTGTTTCTACTCTTCCACCACCCACGTACCTTCCCTTCAACCTTCTTGCCTCAAATTTCGGGTATGATCCATCCTTCATCTTCACCCCATACTTGTAGCAGCCGAAGGGAATGGTGATCCTCTCACGGGAACCATCCTCAGAATGCATCGAATCGATGTTGTCCAGCAATTTGCCAACCAATCCTCCCATATCCAGGCCGATACAGCCGTAAACTGAACAACTGTTCTCCGTGATCGCTTGGCGGTCACCGCCTTTTAGCTGCTTCTTCCGATATTTCCAGTTGGCTTGGAGTAGCTCAAAAGAACTCGTTTCAGCATCCATGATGGCAGGCGGGGCATATAGCAGCTCCACCAATGGCGGTGATGGCTTGGAAACTTCAAGCTCCACGGTAGTGGTGCGGCTACGCCAGGAATCGGCAGCGGCAACAGTACTTGCAGCAGCGACGACCACAACAGCTGGGACCTCCTGCAAAGTTAACAACGGCGGTGATGACGGGGCAACTAGAAGCTTCTCGGCAGCGGCGGTCTTTTGTTTCTTTGGAGACGGCAGCGCCCGAACAAAAGCTATTCCTGACGTCGGGTGTGTAGTCTGTACGACATCCGGGGCAACAGTTTCGCGTCCTTTCTTCCTCTTCTTCCTACGATAGGAGCGCCTCCATCTTTCAGGAATGACCGCCATCGATCGCGGCGATGCAGAGCTTCCAGCCACAAGACCGTTCGACAGTGCTAGAGTAGTCAGACCTGCTTGACGACGTCGTCGATCACGCTCTTGTTGAAGCTTCTTGAACTCCACAATCCTCTTAGTGGCCTCGCAAAAGCTTCGCACGTTGACCCATACGTCATTACACCAGAAACTCATGACTGAATTTTCCCAATCCATTATTACCATTGCCACTTGTTTGAGCCACTCCCTGTCAAGGACGAGGTCAACCTCACGAATCGGAAGTTCGTACGAGTTTACTTCATGCCATACACCTTGTACGTAAATCGGAACGGTCTCGTAACAGCGCTCACAAACCAAGAATTCCCCGTTTGCTGTCTTGACCTTGAACTGAGGAATGGGTGTAGCCCGCAAGGCCAAACCCTTGGCGACGTTGAGGCTTATGAAGTTTTGCGTCAAAAAACCATCGATTAGGGAGACCACGGGTTCTCGATAGATTGTTGTGTCGAGTCGGAGGGTTGCTGAGTTCCGATCTCCGATAACAGTAGAGAAAGAGACCTCGGCATTGATCGACATGGGAGGTTTATCCGGCAGTTTGTGGATCTCGAATAGCAAAGCTAGGATTAGCTTCTTCGCTGTTGGCGCCTCAGTAGGCGATCCTTCCACCTTGTCGTTGCGGAGCGTGGTTGCGCGTAGGACCTCTATCTGACGTTGGTGGTTGAACGTCGACGATGTCTGCCCTAGGAGCTGGTAAGAGTTCAATTCTTTCAAACCAGGCTCTGATACCAATTGATGGACGACGGTTTGGTCCATCACGTAAATTGTAAGAACTAGAAAACTAAAGAGATGCGATTAAGGTTTTTATTCTTCAATGACTGATTAAAACGTAGAAACCAAGTACATATTTACAGGAGAATTGGAAAACCTAATCACTTACCAATCCTAAAAGGATAGGGTAACTTAATCCTAAATAAACTACCATAAATACTTAACTAAATAGTACGATTCCTAAATAATATCTAAAACTGATTCATAAAATAATAATAATAATAATAATGATAATTGGCCGCCGAGAATGATAATGCATCAAGTCCAAACTGACTAGTTCTCGCCATAAGCTGAACGCTATGGCGCATGATAGGGTGGGTTATGCACCCATCAATAACTAAATCTGGACCCTCCATTCAGAAGATCTAGATCTAAATATGGAGAATTAAATGTCATTTTTATTTTCCCTTGTTTTCTTAATCGGCTCATATCTTCTTCGTTTTAACTCGGATTTCAATTTATTTTTTTTGCACAGATGGAACGAGTTCGTTGTGCTATACAAAACGATATCCATTTTCAATATTTTTTGAGAAAAAATTCTTGTCTCTTGGTACCAACTGCAAACCATATTTTATCTTCTTCATTTTTAATTCGTTTTTGAAAACATTTTCACATAAGGAACGAGTTCATTCATGATCTATTGGATCTACAAATTTCTGGACGAACAAATTACAGGACCGAAAAATACCACAAAATACCACAAATTACGGGGTGGTACCTTGTGGAACACAATGTTAAAAGTCATAAATAAAGTTAATATACTTCTACTATCATGTATTCAACCATCCTATAGTCTTGGTTTGTTCATAACACCATGGTACGCTTTTCAAACCATATATATGCTCTTATTTCAATACCAGTCAATACCATAGGGTATAGACTGGTAAAAAATGGCTTAATTTTTTTTGTTCCAAAAATATATCAAAGTAGATATCATTTTGAAGAGCACAATTAATCTTATCTAACTGTGAAAAAAATTAAATTTCGACTTAAAACGAGTGAGAAATCGTCCGTCAAAAATTAAGGAGGGGGAAATTAAAGGCTTTCTAGGAGAGAGAGTGATGTTGATGGCAAGCTGATGTGGACGGGTTACTCATGGTTACTCATCATAAGGTTACTGACCTGATTTGTTCCCGAACGCTATTGCACCTCTAATATCCAAGTAATTCCGACAAGTATGTTGTAGCTCATTTCGCTGATTATGGTACTTTCTCGATACTTGTTCAAGTTTAAACAGGTTAATAAGATATATAACTTCCTACTTATAAAAAAGAGCACTTCTAATATGCTATAAAGCATTGGTGCTTTAATGTACAACTTGAAGTTGTATCATAACACTAAATGTATAAGTTCAGGTTGTACCATAAAGGAATTTGTACCCTTATGTTATGGTACAACTTTACAGCTTAAAGTTGTACATCACATAAAGGTACAAGTTCAAATTGTACCATTAAAAAATTTGTACCAATAGTATAGGTACAATCTGAAATTGTACCATAACGTTAAAGGTAACACTTCAAGTTATACCATAAAGGCAAAAACCTATAGCACCAATGCTATATAGCATTGTAAAATTCCTCTATAAAAAACCTAATTACATGTAGTCTAGTCGGTCGGAAATTTTTGTGCTCATCTAAGGATCGGATCTGGTCAGTAACCATGCATAATCTAATTACCAGCCGCCACATCAGCACCTCCTGCCACTTATGGAAAGCCTCTAATATTTTCTTCTTTAATTTTTAACAGACGATTTCTCTCTCGTTTTAAGTCAGAATTTTAATTTATTTTGCACAAATAAATAAGGTTAATTGTATTCTTCAAAACGATATCATGTATTCCCCCCCCCCCCCCCAATAAATTTGTAGATTCAATAGATCATGATGAACTCGTTCCTTCTGTGCAGATATTGTAAAAATTGACTTAAAAATGAAGGAGATACCATATAGTATGGAGTTGGTAACAAGAGGTATGAAATGTTTTTTGAAAAAAGATATTAAAAATGGAACTCATTTTGTAGAGTAAGACGAACTCGTTCCATCTGTGCAAATTTTTTTAAAATCCAAGTTAGAACGAAAAAGATAAGAAACGATTAAAAAAATTAGAAAAAATATAAAAAAAATCTTTAATTCTCAACCCTTATTATATATTAATTTCCTGGGCCTAATTTAATTTATAATTCTAAGTTTAGTTATAGAAGGGTGCATAAACCTAAGTCCTAGCACAAACATACCTTTTTCTATTAAAAAATAAAAAAATAATTTGGCAGTTTTGATCGTCGGTTTGGCAATTAAATCCTCGGACTGGATTTGGGTCTAGGTCTAGTAATTTCCAGCTGAACTGGCCGGTCCAATATGAATTTAATAAAACATCAGAGAAATAAAATTACCAAAAGTAACTTTCTAAATTTGAAATGACAACATAGTTTCCCTAGTTTAGCTTAATGTATGATGTATATCAAATTTTCGAAAGAATGCAACCAAATGGGCTAATAGACATTGGCACCACTTTTCCTAAGATCTACTCATCATAGCAGGGAGGGCTAGGAACCCATAAACCACCTGCAGAGGCGCATAGGAACATCCTTGCTCTTGAGAACCTGCTGAGGCGAGGATGGGTTCTTGCCAACCGGTGTATCTTGTGCTTCAAAGCTGAGGAATCCATAAATCACCTGTTCATTGAGTGTGACTTCACTAAGGAAATCTAGGAGGCTATTAGGAGGGCTTGCAACAGTATATCGATTCACTCGGGTGGCATCCTAAGCAGTATTAGGCGATGGAGTTGCAGCTATCCGGTTAACCTCGATTGGATTGTCTACGGGGCACTACACATGATTTGTTGTTCTTTTTTTTATCTTTTTTGTCAGGACTTGTTGCCTTTCCTTCACTTCTGGTGAAGAAGGCTTTGCTTCTGTTTGTACCGTTCCTTCCTTTCTTTCAATGCATTTTCACCATTATAAAAAAAAGCAGGGAGCATATTCTCTAAGTAACCTAAGGTTACTCATGCATCACTATTCTCCGATAACAGCTATATTTAATTTGTTTTATCTTGAATTTCAAAATTTGTTGGAAAAGTAATGTTAATTATGCTCTACAAATTACTTCAAATTTTATATACTTTAGAGCAAAAAAATAAAATATTAACGAGTCATTTTTTTTATATAGTGTATCATGGTGGTAGAGCTCGATGGTACCAAAGATTATAAGGTAAATACAATATAATAGTCCAACATTTCATTTTAAACAAAATAATAGCCAAACCTTTTCGAAAACAATATAATAGCCAAACCGTTAACTTCCCGTCCTGTCAATGGTTAGTTGACTGTGACGTGGCAAATTTATTACTGACATAGCAAGGAGTCAACTTTTTGACCATACTACATAAATATTTCTTTATTAATTATTAATTTATTGAAAAAGAAAATGAATTAAAAAACTTAACTGCAAAAATTGTGTAAAGCTTCTTAGAGCATCCACAATGGGTGTCTTTTCCCCATTTCATTGTGACATGGCGATTCCATTACCATTTTCATGGTTGTAGCATGTTATTTCATCTTGGAAAGATTTCATTAGATGAAATTCAATATGGAAGAGGCAAAGTGGGCCCACTTTAATTGGTTAGAGAGTATACAAATTATTTGATGTATTATAAATGTGAATGGGGCCCACCATATGAAATTGAAAGTAGATTTCATGGATGTAGAAAAACTAGAAATAAATAATTAAAATTGTAAGAGCTGTATAGCTGGTGGTAAGGGCCACAAATAAAATAGTTAGGCTATTTCATGTAGGGGGTGTCAAAGTGAGCCCGTTGGGTTAAATCGGGTTGCACAATTTTGTCATTTCTCATTTTAGTTTTTGATTCTTTATTCTTATTCTTGGGTTGGTTAACTTGGTTGGGTTTGTAGGCTGTGATACCAAAGTTTTCTGCATATTTTTTTATTCCAAATTGACATATCCTCATATAATATTTTAATAGTCTTGTCAAAGAATTTGATTCCAAACAAGTGATATGCATGGTTTTTCACGTAGCTTTTCTTTTCTTTAGTTTTTTGTTATATTCCTTATGAAAGGAGATAGTGACATGGTTCAATTGATAATTTTTTGTTTTGCAGATAGATTTCAGTTTCCCTACTAATTGTTACTAAGTTTTAATTATTCATTAGTTTTTATTTTATTTTAGTTAGACTAGTTATTATATCAGTAATTAATTCGGTTTTTGAAAAAACTTCCTCTAATGTTTCCGTAGTTCCGATACTCATTTGTTCTTCCACAATATCTGAAACAAAGTATGATAGTTCTAGTGTAACCATAGTGATATCGTTTATTGAAGTAAGATCGATAGCGTCTATTCCTTCTATTAGTTTATTTATATGGTGAGTATTAGGCATTATAGTATTTATATCTTATCTTTTAATTCTAAGATTAGTTCTTGTAGTTTCTTTATTTCACTATTGTCGTCATATTGATGAAGTATCGTAATATTCCTTATCTCTTCTTTTTCTTCTTGTTCTTCTTCTTTTAACTTGTTTGTTATTCTTCTAGAGGGATGTCGTTCGTCGATACTAATTCTTGGATTACTATAGTCTGATTTAATTATTTTAATAGGGGATTCTAAATGTATTAGTGGTTTAAATAATTCTTCTATGGTAATTACTTATTTATCCTTAAATGTTAAACTATGATGACTATTGGTCAAAGTGTAGTTTATTTGATATGTTACTGAAAATGGTTTATTATTTTCTCTTATAAAATTGCCTCTTTTTTGTTCATATTTTATAATTATTGAGGAATCAAGATTTCCGTCTGTTAGACTTAAACCTTGTTGTAAATTAATATCAAATTTAATTATTCGTACTCCTAAATTTCCTTGTCTTTTGCTATTATGCTTTATTCATTGTTAATGAGTCTGTCATCTCTTATTTCTAGTTCTATTGGCGCACTTATTCATGTTTTCATTGTTGATTTAAAAATAATTTGTATCGTACTAATATGAATATAAGATATTTTATTTCTTTCTTCCTGTTGTAGTTTTGATAACTTTTTTATAATTTGTTCCTTATTTATTGTTTGGATTAGAAAGTCTCATTTGGTCTGTTCAATTGGTATAGTTGTTTCTCCTATCATCTTTCCATATTTAATTATATTTTTTCTATCAAATAATTTAGATAAAAATGACTGATGAAATTTTGGGTTTCTCATAAACTAAAATTAGTTTGCTCTTTTATTTTTTTTATATCTACGATACCATCCAAGAAATAATTTTCTTCTTCATTCTTGTTTAAATCATCAAAATGATTTTTACTAGCACTAGGGTTGTCAGACATACCTGATTCTTGTTAGTTGAAATGGTTTGATTCCTTGTTACTTAGCGTCTTCATGGTGATGCTATGTGAAGAATGCTGGAGATGATCGTTGGAGTTATGTTTAGGAATTTTTTGTAGGTCTGATGATTTTGTTGTGTGGTATTTTTGGTAGGGGATAAGAGTGTCTCCAGAGTATTACCTCAAATACTCAATGCCTAAGCACCTCAAGACGAAGTCTTGGTTTTTGAGAGAAATCTCAACTCTACTCGTTTATTCTCTACCCTCCTTATGAGGAATATGATACATATTTATAGCTGGTCTTAGCCTGCTTCTACGTAAGAGCTTACATCACCTTCCAACAGGTGAGAAAACAAACAAACAACCTTTATAAAGCTAGGTAGTTACATTTGTGCAGAGAAGTGATGATATGAGCTTTCATCTTTTTTAGTGGAGTGACTATTCCTTGTCTTCTTCCTTTCCTTTTTCCTTTTTTAGTGTTGGTAATGGGGCCAATGTTCCTTCTAGATTGATGAAATTTCTTGTAAAATTTGTAATTATATCACATTCTTCCTTGGTGAATTGTGCCTTGGAGTTGCTGATGATCACCTTATGTTCACTTCCGTAATTGACCTTGATATTATCCGTTGGTTTGATGTAATGGATTGCTTGGCATACTAAGAATAATGATTTCACTTGATGATCTTCTGGTATTTTAGTTGTCTTCAATTCATCCCTTGTTGGATATTTTCCGTTTGAGACTCCCATTCTAATGAGGGCTTTTGATGGTATAATCATTTCTCCTTGGCTGAATACTGGATAGCTGGATGTATACTTTAGATAGATTTCTCTGTCTTTGGCAAAGAATTTCAGATAGTTTTGAACAACCATCTTGAATTTAATGGGGAATTCGTCGAGGATGTCAATTTTTCTAGTGTAGATGGTATCCAATAATCCATATTGGTGGAGAGAGAATACCATTGTTGGTGAGGCTTCTTCTGTGACTACAGCTTTTGGTCCTCCTTTGAATGTTGGATAAAAACCCATGGTAGTATGTATTTCTTCATAGTTGATAAGATCATTCCAACATTGTTGGAATTTCTATACTGTAGGTTTTTTGGCTTCTTCTTTTTCCTTTGTGGTCTGGATATTCCTAATGTTAATACCAGGAATCTTCATTACTAGTTGTTGTTGTGGAACGACCAGCTCATTTGTTTTCTTCATGGTCAGAGCTTTGTATGATTCGTCAAGTGCTTGATCTGCTTCCTCCTTAGTTGTGAATGAGTGATGTTTAACATTATGACCGATAATATGCTGAGCAGCTATTGCCCAATTGGTATAGACTCCTTGAAATGGTCCATCATAAACAATGTAATCAAAAGCGCGATTCTACCTAGAAGTGGAAAAGGGGTAAAATCATAAAGCGTTGAATTAAAGCGTAAAAACGTAAGTTTTTGACGCATACTGTAAAATAATTAAAAAAATGTTAAGTACGACATATACTATGTAAAATATGAGTACAGAGAATTTAATTATAAGCCACCTTCTTTTCTATGTTAATGAAATTGTGAAGAGCCTAACTGGTGAATTATATTACTCTATTGAAGCTGAAAATACATCCAAGTACGTGGTATGCATATTTTCCTTTATCTCAAATGCATCATATTGTTGGTGATTTACCTTTTAAATATATATTTTATAATTAATTTCACGAAAACACTGCCCATCTAGTGAACTAAGAACGTAAAAGCGTAAAGCATTTTGGTGAACTAGAAGCGCAAAAGCGTAAGCTTTTAAGTTTTAAAGCGCAATTTAGTCCTATTTTATACATTAAAGTTTTTATGGAAACAAAAGCGTTTTGGTGATCTGGAAGTGTAAAACCGTAAGTTTTAAGTTTTAAAGGGCGATTTTGACTGCATTGATCATAAATGACATACCATTATCCTTTCTTTGACTTTCTTTCATCCTCTTCATATTTTTATCTTCTTCTACCAGATCTGCCCATTTTGTGGATGATGATGCTGATTTCTCTTATTGTATTTCTGGCTGAGTTTTTCCATTGATTTGTTGTTGCAGAAGGTTGATGGTGGTTTTGAGCTGTTCTAGTTCCCCCCTCCTTAGAGATAGCTGAGTTTCAAGAGATCGTATTTGCTCTTCCTTTTGTTGTTGCTGATTCTGCATCTGCTTGATTATTCCCTCCATTCTCTTGTAAGGGTGTCGGCCAGAGGGTTGGTTGTTGACTTAATATACTTCCGATATGGCTTGTAATAGTGTAGTTGTTGCTGCAAGCGGATTAATCTTCCTTTGTTAAAGTCTGCTTCAAGTTTGTATCTCCAGAAACCTGTAACATATTTAGAGTATGTTCGTAACTCAAATCTGCTGGTTAACAATTCGAATTTCCATTTCTTCAATATCCTGAGACAAGCTAGTGTTTCTAGCTCATGAACTGGATAGTTCTTCTCTGTATCAGAGAATGTTCCTGAAATATATTTACATAACGTTTTTGGATACTTGTCTGTATTAAAAAGTATTGAGTAGTCTATAGAATCTTTCGATTCTTTAGATAGTAATTTATCATCATGGTTGGTAGATGAATCATTTGATTCATTTTTAGATAGTAAATTGCCATAGTGATCAAGAGATAGTAATTTCTTTCCTTTGGGAATTGCGAGCATGCAACCTGCCCATGTATCCTTGGATGCATCTGTTTCAACTATGAGAAAATCGCGATCACATGGGTTATATAATTTAGGTAAATGATCACAACTAGCCTTCATGAATTTTACTACTTCTGTATCTTTATCTTCCCATTTCCAAGGTATCTTGGATTTTATTGGGGACAAAAAACAATATAAACAAAAAACAAGAAATAAAGATTATTGTCCTAAAGGCAAACCAAATTGTAGATGTTGGCTTTGTAATGAAGAATGACATTATGCTAATAAATGTCCAAAGAAAAACGTTAATAATAAGAAACAAGAAGTGCTAAGAATAGCCTTCGAATGCGGATTTGAACCTATAGAGGAAACATATTTTGAAACATCATATATAGATATAATTGAATACTTACATACTTAGAGGTATCTTCAGATGAGTCAGAAGAAGATACTAACTAAAAGTAATCCAAATGCAACATTTATAAAAGTCACTATTGAAAATAAAGATTTTCTAGCATATATAGATACAGGAGCAACACTTTGTTTTGCAAAAAGGGCAACCATTAGAAATTGGGGAAAATTAGATAAACCTCTAAAAATTGTAGTCGCAGATAAATCGATACACGAGATTTGGTATGTAAAAAATTATGTACCAATCATTATAGAACAATACGTTTTTACTACTAAAACGATATATTTACATGATTCAGGGTTAGATATGATAATAGAAAATAATTTCCTTAAGTTATATCAACCTTTTACTCAAAGAATTAAAAATATTAGTCTACGAGCACCCATAATGAAAAACCAAGAGTCCAAAATCGTTACAACTAAAATTATAACAAAAAATGAAGTATTGAAAATCGTTCTACAAAAATTAAAAAATAGGCTTGAATATATCCAGGTAGCTTATGGAATAGTTGAAGAAAAACTAGAAGAAGTATGTAGTGAACACCCATTAGATAGTATAAAAAATACAAATTCAGAATTAATAGAAATCAAACTTAAAGATCCAAGTATAGAAGTTAATGTCCCCAATAAAATCCAATATACACAAAGAGATGTAGAAGAATTTCAAGAAGAATGTAAAGAGTTACTCAAAAATATCATTAGGGAAAGTAAGAGCCCTCATAGCGCTCCGGCATTTTATGTAGAAAATAATAACGAGTTAAAAAGAGGAAAGAGACGTATGGTAACAAATTATAAAAAACTAAATGAACAAATAGTAGGAGACAGTTATAAACTACCTAGAAAAGACTATATATTAGAACAATGAAAGGGTCAAACGTGGTTTAGTAGTTTAGATGCTAAATCAGGATATTGGCAATTACGTCTACACGAAAACACAAAGCCATTAACAGCTTTTTCATGTCCACCTCAAAAACACTATGAGCGGAATGTCGTACCATTCGGACTTAAACAGCCACAAGGAATTTATCAAAGATTTATGGATAAAAATTTAGAAGGATTACAAGACTTTTGCCTAGCATATATTGACGATATCATTATCTTCTCAAATAAAGATAGGAAGGATCATGAAGAAAAACTAATCAAAGTATTAGAAAGAATAAAAGAAAAAGGACTAATAATTTCAAAAAAGAAATCAAAACTACTAGTTAATGAAATTGAATATCTAGGACTAAAAATAAATAGTACAGGCGAAATAGAATTAACAACAAATGTTAAAGAAAAACTAGATAAATTTTCCAATAAAATGGAAAATAGAAAACAAATACAAACATTTTTAGGAAGTGTAAATTATATTAGCGAACAAGGATATCTAAAAAACTTAGCAAAAGAACGAAAACACCTTCAGCAAAAGATATCAGACAAGATACATTGGAAATGAGAAGATAAAGATACAGAAGTAGTAAAATTCATGAAGGCTAGTTGTGATCATTTACCTAAATTATATAACTCATGTGATCGCGATTTTCTCATAGTTGAAACAGATGCATCCAAGGATACATGGGCAGGTTGCATGCTCGCAATTCCCGATGGACAGAAATTAATATCTCTTGATCACTATGGCAATTTACTATCTAAAAATGAATCAAATGATTCATCTACCAACCATGATGATAAATTACTATCTAAAGAATCGAAAGATTCTACAGACTACTCAATACCTTTTAATACAGATAAGTATCCAAAAAAGTTATGTAAATATATTTCAGGAACTTTCTCTGATACAGAGAAGAACTATCCAGTTCATGAGCTAGAAACACTAGCTTGTCTCAGGACATTGAAGAAATGGAAAATCGAATTGTTGACCAGCAGATTTGAGTTACGAACAGACTCTAAATATGTTACAGGTTTCTGGAGATACAAACTTGAAGCTGACTTTAACAAAGGAAGATTAATCCGCTGGCAGCAACAGCTACACTATTACAAGCCATATCTGAAGTAGATTAAGTCAACAGCCAACCCTCTGGCCGACACCCTTACAAGAGAATGGAGGGAATAATCAAGCAGATGCAGAATCAGCAACAACAAAAGGAAGAGCAAATACGATCTCTTGAAACTTAGCTTTCTCTAAGGAGGGGGGAACTAGAACAGCTCAAAACCACCATCAACCTTCTGCAACAACAAATCAATGGAAAAACTTAGTCAGAAATACAACAAGAGAAATCAACATCATCATCCACAAAATGGGCAGATCTGGTAGAAGAAGATGAAAAATATGAAGAGGATGAAAGAAAGTCAAAGAAAGGAAAATGGTATGTCATTTATGATGGACCATTTCGAGGAGTCTATACCAATTGGGAAATAGCTGCTCACCATATTATCGGTCATAATGTTAAACATCAGTCATTCACAACTAAGGAGGAAGCAGATCAAGCACTTGACGAATCATACAAAGCTCTTACCATGAAGAAAACAAATGAGCTGGTCGTTGCACAACAACGACTAGTAATGAAGATTCCTGGTATTAACATTAGGAATATCCAGACCACATAGGAAAAAAGAAGAAGCCAAAAAACCTACAATACAGAAATTCCAACAATGTTGGAATGATCTTATCAACTATGAAGAAATACATACTACCATGAGTTTTTATCCAACATTCAAAGGAGGACCAAAGCTGTAGTCACAGAAGAAGCCACACCAGCAATGGTATTCGCTCTCCACCAATATGGATTATTGGATACCATCTACACTAGAAAAATTGACATCCTCGACGAATTCCCCATTATATTCAAGATGGTTGTTCAAAACTATCTGAAATTCTTTGCCAAAGACAGAGAAATCTATCTAAAGTATACATCCAGCTATCCAGTATTCAGCCAAGGAGAAATGATTATACCATCTAAAGCCCTCATCATAATGGGAGTCTCAAACGGAAAATATCCAATAAGGGATGAATTGAAGACAACTAAAATACCAGAAGATCATCAGGTGAAATCATTATTCTCAGTATGCCAAGCAATCCATTACATCAAACCAACGGATAATATCAAGGTCAATTACGGAAGTGAACATAAGTTGATCATCAGCAACTCCAAGGCACAATTCACCAAGTAAGAATGGGATATAATTACAAATTTTACAACAGATTTCATCAATCTAGAAGGAATATTGGCCCATTACCAACAGAACAAAAGAAACAACTGTGAGAATTATTGCAGCTCCACGAAGACCATATCTGCATCAACTGTGCAACAGATATGATCACCACCACCAGCAGCAATAATGGAGAGGAATAGTCAGGGACTCAAGAATGACTCACCCCACTATGAAAAAGGAAGGGAAGAAGACAAGGAATAGTCACTCCACTAAAAAAGATGAAAGCTCATATCATCACTTCTCTGCACAAATGTAACTACCTAGCTTTATAAAAGTTGTTTGTTTGTTTTCTCACCTGTTGGAAGGTGATGTAAGCTCTTACGTAGAAGCAGGCTAAGACCTGCAATAAATATGTATCATATTCCTCATAAGGAGGGTAGAGAAGAAACGAGTAGAGTTCAGATTTCTCTCAAAAACCAAGACTTCGTCTTGAGGTGCTTAGGCACTGAGTGTTTGAGGTAATACTATGGAGACACTCTTATCCCCTACCAAAAATACCACACAACAAAATCATCAGACCTACAAAAAATTCTTAAACATAACTCCAACGATCATCTCCAGCATTCTTCACATAGCATCACCATGAAGACGCAAAGCAACAAGGAATCAAACCATTTCAACTAACAAGAATCAGGTATGTCTGACAACCCTAGTACTAGTAAAAATCATTTTGATTATTTAAACAAGAATGAAGAAGAAAATTATTTCTTGGATGGTATCGTAGATATAAAAAAAATAGAAGAGCAAACTAATTTTACTTTATGAGAAACCCAAAATTTCATCACTAAGTCATTTTTATCTAAATTATTTGATAGAAAAAATATAATTAAATATGAAAAGATGATAGGAGAAACAGCTATACCAATAGAACAGACCAAATGAGACTTTCTAATCCAAATAATAAATAAGGAACAAATTAGAAAAAGTTATCAAAACTACAACAGGAAGAACGAAATAAAATAGCTTATATTCATATTAGTACGATACAAATTATTTTTAAATCAACAATGAAAACAGGAATAAGTGCGCCAATAGAACTAGAAATAAGAGATGACAGACTCATTAACAATGAAGAAAGCATAATAGCAAAAGGACAAGGAAATTTAGGAGTAGGAATAATTAAATTTGAAATTAATTTACAACAAGGTTTAAGTCTAACAGAAGGAAATCTTGATTCCTCAATAATTATAAAATATGAACTAAAACGAGACAATTTTATGAGAGAAAATAGTAAACCATTTTCAGTAACATATCAAATAAACTACGCTTTGACCAATAGTCTTCATAGTTTAACATTCAAGGATAAAGAAGTAATTACCATAGAAGACTTATTTAAACCACTAATACATTTAGAATCCCCTATAAAAATAATTAAATCAGACTATAGTAATCCAAGAATTAGTATAGACGAACGACATCCCTCTAGAAGAATAACAAACAAGTTAAAAGAAGAAGAACAAGAAGAAAAGGAAGAGATAAGAAATATTACGATACTTCATCAATATGACGACAATAGTGAAATAAAGAAACTACAAGAACTAATCTTAGAATTAAAAGATAAGATATAAATACTATAATGCCTAATACTCACCATATAAATAAATTAATAGAAGGAATAGACACTATCGATCTAACTTCAATAAACGATATCGCTATGCTTACACTAGAACTATCATACTTTGTTTTAGATATTGTAGAAGAACAAATGAGTATCGGAACTACGGAAACATTAGAGGAAGCTATTTCAAAAACCGAATTAATTACTGATATAATAACTAGTCTAACTAAAATAAAACAAAAACTAATGAATAATTAAAACTTAGTATCAATTAGTTAGGGAAACTGAAATCTATCTGCAAAACATAAAAATTATCAATTGAACCATGTCACTATATCCTTTCATTAGCAATATAACTTAAAACTAAAGAAAAGAAAAGCTACGTGAAAAAACATGCATATCACTTGTTTGGAATCAAATTCTTTGACAAGACTATTAAAATATTATATGAGGATATGTCAATTTGGAATCAAAATATATGCAGAAAACTTTGGTATCAGAGCCTACAAACCCAACCAAGTTAACAAACCCAAGAATAAGAATAAAGAATCAAAAACTAAAATGAGAAATGACAAAAATGTGCAACCCGATTCAACCCATCAATTTCCTTCCCCACAACGAAACCTCACCGGAAAGATGGTTTCTACTCAAAATCCATGGTTTGCCCCGCCTGAAGCAGGGGTGAGAATCCTCTCCATCTGCCAACCCGCCAACAACAATGACGTGCACGGTGCACCCACCCAACTCCAGTTGGCAGTCAGATCTGCATCTTGGCGTCTCGGTTTTTTCCCGCCAGTCCCGCCGACAATCCCCCTGTTTTCCCCTTTCGTTGGATTGTCTGAGGGAGACGAAGAGGGAAGAGGAGAAAGTACTAAGGCCCCGTAATCTCTCCCTCATCCAACCAGTCCGCCACCGCTAGCCCACTCCTCCCTCATTCTCGACTTCTCGTCTCCCGAGAGGTTCATCGCGTCTCCATCTGTGAGAGAGATTCAGACGATTTTCTTGGCGATTGAGACGTCGGGGTGCTAGGCGATCTTGCGAGTAACGGTGCGGTGCTCTGAGTACTTGACATCCGCACGGAGCCAGGGCAGGGTTCCTTCTCTGCCATCTTCTTCCTCAGCAGTGTCCTCGCCCAGATCTTTACCACCCCTAGTTGTTTCTGTTATGACAATCAGTAACCGTCCCTTCCTCTCCCGCCACCACAACTGCTTCCCGTTCATCTACGCTGACCTGGCTAAATTCTTGAGTCGCCGCTGCCGTCGGAGGTTTCTCCGCCACTGTCGCCCTAGCATTTTTCTCCTTCAGCCTCGTTGTTCCCAAATCCCTCTTCGCCATATCCCCAAGATTGGGGACTGGATACGGTGACAACCCTTAAGGGGGTTGTCAGATTCACAACCCACTTCATAGTCCTTGGATACGTTCTCTCTCCTGTTTCTTTTTTCTTTTTTTTAAATTAAGGGTTAAGATTAAAGGAAGGGTATTTTTGGAAGGGTAAAAATTTACCACACCCAATTATTCACCCTATCATATAAAAAAACCCTAACTCCTCTATCCTCCCTTCCTCTCTCTCTCCTCCCTCTCTCCTCCCTCTCTCCCGTAGCCATCACTTTCTCTCCTCCCTCTCTCGCAGAGCCCTCCGCCGCCACAGCCCTCCACCGCCGGCGTCAGCGCCCCTCCGCCTTCATCCGCCTGTCGAGCCTTCAACCGCCATCTCGTCTCCGCCATCTCCAACTATCCTCCTCCTCCTCCGCCTCCGTCGCCGTATCCAACCTCGCCGGAAGTTCCTGTTTCCCTACTCGACGGATGAGACGGGAGCAAAATCTTCTCCCCTCCGCCTTCAGCCGCCTTTCGGCGCACCTCCGCCTCCCACCACCACGACACAATCATCATCTCCCCGTCGGAGCCCTCTCGCCGCCCTTCGTCCCCCACCACTACCGCCGTCGCGAGGTCACCCTCTTCCCCTACCTCTCTCTCCCGTCACCGAGTCCCCTTTTCTAGATCTGGTTTTTTAATGGTACCATTTTTTTTCTGGCCGCCCTTCGTCCCCCACCACTACCATTAGGTAGCTGGTAGTGGTAGAGTACCACTATCATCTGGTACTACTATCATTTGTTTTTTTGTGTGTTATTCTCTACTGGTATCGCTACCAATGCTAGTGGTAGCGCTACCAGTGCTAGTGGTACATTTATTCTCTACTGGTACCGCTACCAATGGTAGTGTTAGCGTTGTACTGGTAGCGTACCACTAGTACTGGTACATTTTTTAACGAATTGGTAGCGTACCACTAGCACTGGTATATTAATTACCAGTAGACTAATGGATTGATACACTTTTTAACGCACTGGTACATTTTTTCAGGTTGCCGGAGGGAGTCTGTCGGAGAGAATTCGCCGGAGAAAAAGTCTGTCCGTCGATGAGGAGTGACCGCTGGAGAAAGGAAGAGAAAGATAGATAGAGATATTAATGTATAGGATTTAAATTTCAAAAAAAATTGTATTTAATATGAGTTTTTAATTCCCAATATGATTAATACACAAAAGGTAATTAATATATTCCTTTTTTCCATACCCAAAATACCTTTGATTGTGAATCTGACAACCCCTAAAGGGATGTCACCGTATCCCATCCCCAAGATTGGTTTCCATCATAGCCACACGAAGAATAGGGTGGCTTGCGTTAGTTTTTGTAGATTGGGTGTTCTAGCAGCTTGGCGATGGGCATGGTGAAACTGAATTGGGGATGATGGCGGTAGAATGGGAGTGTGGAAGATACAGGATTTCAAAATTTTCTTGGATTGGGAGAGGTGAGGGGAAGGGATCCAACGAAAGGGACGTTTTCTTTAATTTTTTTTGTAAATATTAAACAAACATTTATGTGGCATAGTTAAACAATTGGCCTTTTGCCATGTCACGAACCGGCCACGTTAGAGTCAACTAATTGTTGACTGGATGGAAAGTTAACGGTTTGGTTATTATATTGTTTTTGAAAAGGTTTGGTTATTATATTGTTCAAACTCAAAGGTTTAGCTATTAAATTGTATGGGTTAATACCTTAGTTTGGTCCGAACTATACATATACTTTCTACTTTGGCCCGTGGTATTGGAAATTGCTATTCTGGCCTGAACTATGTAGCAAACTTCCTTATTTGGTCAGGAGGCGGGTTTGACCGTTAAATCAGACGGTCAAACTTGTTGACCGTTAGTCAATGCCCACCTCACCTGCCACGTCATGCAACGATAACGTCACCAATATGAGCATATCGTCGATTACTAGTCCCTATGATTCGTATGCACATCAATTCTCGGGCTCCACTATTATCTGCTACATTCAAACGGGTTTGCGGTTGAATAATATCATTTTTTAATCTGTTATTTCAGTGCAAACGAAAAAAAAAGAAATATTGGTTGTTCAAAACAAAAAAATAAACTTACGCTGTCTTTTATCTTATATGTCTTATAATGTGACTTCTAAGAAACTTTTCTGCAGAAGAAGAGAATAGTAATTTAGTCCTATAAATAGAATAAAAAATTAGGAGCAAGAAGATTTCAGCAGAAATATCGACTTATTCATCCTTTTACCTTGCCATGTAACATTGCCATTCATGTCTGCCTCCCTTCTATACCTCAGCCAGGATATAATTTTCAGGGAGCTTTTCCATATCCAACAACTTGAAGTTGTCTTTGCCTCCCAGATAGAAACACCCCTGAGCCTATATCGATGAATCCAAGCCTCCCAGAATTTTCCTCCTTGAAGAAGAAGCAACCAGATTAATCTAGTCATTGATGACACATTACTGGAGATCAAATCCTTCTACCCCAAACCTCCTTCACGTCTTGGAACTGACAGCACCACCCAAGCTACCTTTGCTCTCCCCGTCCCTTCTCCATGCCAAATGAAATCATAACATATCTTTTGGATGCTTTTAATAACCTTCTTTGGAATAAAAAATATACGGGTCGTTTGGATGAGGAATTGTAACGGATCAATTTTACACAATTGTCTCGTTTTGAGACAATTGTACCAAATTGTCTCGTTTGCCAGCAAAAATTTTGGATTGATCAATCTGTTTGAGGTATTTTGAATTACCTCCGAGGTGGGGGCAGGTAATTCGAATTGACTCGTTTTAATTGCCTCGTTTATAAAACGAAACAATTGATCAAATTGACTCATTTCTATATTGATCCATCCAAACGACCCCCTAATCATCCAGTAATGGATAAGGGTACAAATTGTATATCCAAAACTTTCATGGTTGTGCCAATAATATCCAAATTTCCCTAAATACCACTTATATCCAATTCCTTCACATTCTTTAACGTTGTTTTTGGATATACAAGTGTATTTAACCAAAAATATATCGGGAAATGGATAGATTTGGCAAAAAAAAAAACTTTAAAACATGGATAAGTGGTATTTCGTGAAATTTGGATATTATTGGCACAATCGTGAAAGTTTTGGATATACAAGTGTATTAAACCAAAATAATAGCATAATATATATTATGCTAGAGAAAATAGCTTGTTTTAGAATGACAAACCCATGATGTTCATTTGTTTTACTTAATGGGAAAATACCGTGTAGGTTAGGCCCGCTCAACTCTTTTATTTTTTGATTAGCGGTTAGCCCATTAGAATCCATGCATTAGTTTATTGTTAAATTTTTTTCTTTTTAGCAATAAAAAGGAGTATTGTTTTTTGCCTTTTCATATATATATTTTACCACCACGGAGAAATAAAAGGACTTAAAGAAAAAAATTGACACTCCTGGACCCGTTTAAATCTGCATGTGTACGGTAAGTTGGCCCGTTCCACAGAGGAAAAAGAAAAAAATTGACACTCCCTATTCTACCCTTCCTACAAACGCTCATGGAGCAGGGAATTTGAAATGGGGGAAGGGTTTTTTTCCTCTCTGCGATTATAGGTTTTTAATTTAAAAAGATACAACAAATGTACTTAGTGTGATTGGTTATGATCTTTGTTTTTCTTTAAAGTTGTCATGGTTCGAATCCTAGTAAATGTCTTTTTAATGAATAAAAAAAGTAATTGTGAAGACCAAAATGTCCTTCCTACTTTCACTCTGGATGCAGGAAATTTGAAATGGGGCTTCAAGTTTTCTCATTTGGCTTTTATTTATTGTGTAGATTTCTACATCCAACTTTAGAGAACTTTTAGGGGTCGTTTGGATTCAAAATTGTGGGGAGGGATTCGGCCCAAATCTGACCCGTCTAGGAATTTAAACTATTCTCTTATTTGGATAGCCAAAATAAAGGGCGAGATTTGGCCCTCCAGGTTTTTGAAATTCGGCCCAGTCCGGAATTAGAAATAATCTTGCCAGCCCTCAGGTATTTTAAAATCCGGCCCCAATTTTTTGGTTTCTTCCCAGCTTGTCCCTACGTGGCTACGTGTGAGACGACCGACGACGATGTGTCCTTGTGTGGCTGCATCCCAGCGTGCCCAGAGCAGATCTCGCTGGAGTTAGATACGAGAGAGACCACCACCACCACATCCTCCTCCGCCGCTGCCCCCGACTCATATCCTTTCTCCTATTCCCTCCACTGCACTATGCTTTCTTCCCCTGCGCCGATCAGCAAATAATTCAGATCTACGGCCGCCCACAGTCTGCCTCGAACAAAGATTTGCCTTCATTCACCAATGGCATCCCCTACCACTTCCATTCAAGCTTCGGCTTGCATATTGCGTATTTTGTTTCTAATTACATAGATTTTCTAGTTATGTGAACACAAGGTAGAGATCAAATTAACAACATATAAATGGATCGAAACAGGGGAGGGAATCGCGAACCTCGACGCCCCTAGAGAATCGGGGAAAGTGGAGGCACGAGGAACTCTGAATCTTGGAGTGGGAGTCTCCGGCTCCGCCGCCGTCAACTCGACATGGTTTCGAGTCCCTTTGTTGTCTGGCGTGTCTGATTTCCCACCGGCGGCGGCCGCGAATGGATTGGGGATGGGAACAGAGTATGTAGAAAAGTAGGTATGTGTGGACGGGAGCTGGGTGGCGCCAGGCTTGGTGCATGATGGGCGTTCTGATGCTAGTCTCTGGCGACTAATAAATGCCGGTGAAGGTCAACGGAAGTTGACGGTAAGTGGTAGGGAAGAATCAGAAATGGGTGTTGCCTTCTAGAAAGGGTATAATAGTATAGCATCTCTATTGGAAACCCATATGTTGGACTTCAAATCTGCTCTGTTTGAAGGACTTCCACCGTAGAAACAATCGGCAGCGGGATGAGGCATCCGACGACGAGAGATTGGGTCTAATATTGAGCTTGATTTCTTCATCAACGTGGACGGTGGACTAGGGTCGTTGAGGGAGGAGGATTTTGGTACGCTGATTTTCGGCGAGAGGAGAAGGAAGGGCAATATTGTACTTTCTTATCAATCATTAAAAATTAAAATGCTGACAAATGAAATGTTGATAAAAAACAAACAGAATAATTAAACAAAAACCTAATTAGAAATCTCTAGAATTTTAAATCAGGAAATTGGATCCAAATCTCTCCTTTCTCAATCCAAATGACCCCTAGTTGTAGTCATATTTGTGCTTAGTTTAGTTGTTTTCTTAGTTTTTTCTTCCAGTGTACTGGAAAGGTGTGGGTTGTTAGCCTGTGTATTTTTCGACTCTTATGTCGATTAGCCAAGTGAGGCTTAATTGAAACTGCTAATTACCTGGAAAAAATTTCTAATGATTGTAGCAATATATCTTAGTATAAAATGATGATGTAAATGAGGGATGAGGCTAATATAATTGGTCCCAAGATTTTCTCCTGAAATATACAAATAATTGATTTCATTATTTAGATAATAATGAACGTGTTCCTTTTATAAAAAAATTTCAAAATTTTAAGTTCAAACAAAATAGGTGAAGGGTGGTTGAGACTTGAGAGTGATAATGGGCGATCCACAAACATTTTGCTCGAAACATATCAAAAATAAATATCATTTTGTATATTATAGATACAAATCTATTGAAAATTTAAGAAATTAAACAAAATATAATTTCAACCATCGAAAGTAAACTTACTTAAAATTCGGGGACAACATATTATTGGGTTAAAAGCATGGTTGGTCACTGAGATTATGGAAAACGTTCATGTTTGGTCACTCGAAATACTTAAATCCATTCATTGACACTTGATTTAGTAAAACAATTCAAGTTTGGTCACTCTCTGTACAACTTCATTAACTTTGTCTGATGTGACAGTCAATTCTTAAAGTTGACCGTTAAATGTATAACGTGACAATTAAAAAATTGGAAATAAAAATTTCCACCTCAGTGTCACTGCCAATAAAATGTAAAATAAAAATTATTAATTTTAACTCACTAAAAGTCACTATCAACTCCACCTCAATCCCACCTCCGTCACTACTTCTCCGCCTCATGGACCCACAATCCCAGCCTTTTTCTTCTGCTCCTCTTCTCTCTTCCTCCGCCTCCGTCCCGACCTCTATTCCCTCTTCTGCTGCTCCACCCAGGATTGGGGATTTCTCAAAGCCCCCACAATTCCTCCTTTCACTCGAACGTTAGAACCGCTCCCGATCTCACTGCCCTTTGCCCTTTTGTGTGTATATATATATATTAAAATTCCCCCTTCCAACCTCTTTCCGGCGATTTCCAAACCACTACGCATAAACAAAAATAGAAATAGAGAGAGAAAATGGCTGCTCTTGACCGCAAGTCAACAACGGTGACAGTAACAGTGGTGGTGTGGCGATGGGGACGGAGAGATCAAAACCGCCGCTCCACAATTTCAATCTCCGAGCTTGAAGTGGGGGAATCAGAGACAACTCCAATGCATGAATCCTTCCGATTCGAGTAAAAGCGGCAGCTCCAACCCTAGGAATGGCGGACGAGAGAGAGGATTCTCGTTCGATCGTCACCGCTGGAGCAGCCGATCTCCTCCGTCGAATTTCACCACCAGCTCCAGGGATTACGACGCTAGGCAATAGGCATCACCAATTCAAGAAGTCCAAGCCGAGAGGGAAAGAGAGGAGGTGGGAGTGAGGTGGAGTTAATAATTTGTGTGCTTTAGCGAATTAAAATGAATTATTTTTATTTTTCATTTTAGTGGTATTGATAATGAGGTAGAAATTGTGATTTTGATTCTTTTTTAATGGCCATTTCATATATTTAACAGTCAACTTCAGTCACATCAGACAAAGTTAACGGAGAGTGACCAAACTTGAATTGTTCTACTAAATCTAGTGACTATGAATAGATTTAAATATTTCGAGTGACCAAACATGAACGTTTTACGTAATCTTAGTGACGAACAGGGGCGGAGGGAGAGAGTTAGAGGGTGGGTCTCGGAACCCACCCTGGCTCGGGTTAGAAAATGGTCAATTAATTACAATAGTTAATCGGGTATGAAAAATAATACGTATTTAAATGAAACTGGTAGACCTTTGAAATATTTTATGTATGATTTATAGCGAATGTTGACATATTCAATGTATTTATAACAAGCTATGTACAAATGATAATGATGTATATGATTCGACCAAAATTGAAGATGTATGTATTCAATATTTACAACAAATTTCCACCAAATCATAACTCATTTGTAAAAATAATTTTATTTCAATCAGGGGTAGGGAGATTGTAACAGGTGTTTCCTAAGGACTAAAATGAGTAAATTAGTATAATAGTTAATTGAGAATGAAATTTAGGGAACTTCTAATTGAGAATGGTTGACCGAGATATCATTTGTTCGAATCTTTGTAACCTCATTTGTTAAACACATGATATTCGGATTTACATAAACTTTAAGCACGCATAAATTGGTTGTAGTAAGCAGGAAAGTGTTAGTAAATACTAAATAGTATTAGATTCATTATTAAATCTTTCCTAATAACTCGAGTTAATGATATTAAACGGTATTGACGAAGAACACGATTCAAAAGCAAATGTCTAACTAAATCATAAATAATTGTTTGATACATATATGGTGATATTCTTGATAGTTTTGACATATAATTTAATTTACCAAGTTTTTGCAAATACAAAATTATATCATGAACGATTTAGAAAGCTAACAAAATTATTTTATCGTATGTATTTTTTCTAAATGAACCCACCCTCGGCAAAATCCTGGCTACGCGCCCCCTGGTGACGAAGCATGCAATTAAGTATTAACCACATATTATTACACAAATTTGATCTTACTTACGATATTGTATTTTCGCAAAGAATTAAACATTTCTACTTGGAGTCAAAAATTAGCTGCCGGTCATCAAACTTCTACGCATATATACGACCTCCCCAACAAAAGGACACCAATAAGGTCACCAAGACATTACAGACCACACAGTTACGTTGAATCTAGCAACTTGAATTGAAGGTTGGCAGGCTATTTTGAGGGATCCACCCCCGCAGAGTTGTTCAAGAAATTGATCGATGTAGCTTAGCTTTTGTTGTATGGTTTTGTTTTGCTCCACTCACTTTTTTTTTTCATTATGCATTCACCTTATAATCATTATTTTGAGTAGGCGAATCATGTGAAAACGATGTTAATCGTCACTTGTAGTATGATAGAAAAAAACACATAAATTTATACAAAAATCATTTAAGATTTACTTTAATTTGAATGTTTAGGATTTATGGATTTAGGGTTACAATTTGGGGGTTTGGGTTTAGATTCAAGATGGAAGGTTAAGTAGTAAGGGTAATGACCCAGGAAGAATCAATTCCAGGCTTATTAATAATTAATAATCCATGACAACTTCCTTTCGTAATACCCTACCCCCAGGGGAAGTCGAATCCCCGCTGCCTCCTTGAAAGAGAGATGTCCTGAACCACTAGACGATAGGGGCATATTTGCCCGACTGTGAGCATACTATGCTCATATTATAGTAGTATAGCGCAATTGTCAATATAACGAAATAGTATGACTAGATTCTAAGGACCTTTTCGTCTTTCCAGGATCCGATAGGATTTTTTGATTCATTATTTGTATATTAAACTAATGCTACTAATTTACGTTCAAAATTCGATCTATAGAGTTGAGTGCATTGAATGTACCCAAAAAATTGAGTGCACCAAAGTAGTAACCATATATATATATATATATATGAAAAAGGCTAGAGTATGTCTTGCATACGCTATACGCCTGCGTTAAAACTTATTACTTGTACTTTGATAATTTCGATGAATCAGAACCTTTGATTTTCATTTTAAGATTAAATGAATCTTATGGTTTGGGTTAGAGAATTAAGGAATATGGTTCACCTATTAAAGATTAGGGTATAGGAATCATGTCCCAAACTCCGATTAATTTATGGTTTAAGTAACAAAACTTGACGGGCATACAGTAAGGTAAGCATACACTTGTCGTACGCTAGTCTAAGCAATATACATATAAGTAGTGTATTTAATTTCTTATTGGTTGTTGCATTTCAGTCATAATGATTTATTTATTTGGTTTTGTTGACTATATAGGTTGCTGAATTGTTACATAGATAGGGGGTTGTTGAATTGTTTGATTAGTATAAGGAAGTCTGTCTGTTATTTTCTTTATAATATCAGAACTTTTTCGATAAGCAATAATGCTGCATCTAATTTATTGGGTTTATTTTGATGAATGATAATGGTTAATTATTATTTTATTTAAATTAATTTTAGTAAATATTATTTAGAGAATAAAGACATGAATTTTAATATATAATGGTTAGAGTATAACACTGTGTCTCAAACTCTGATCAATTTAATATCTAGATAAAAACAATTTTACTCAACATATGAAGACTAATGATACAACCTTGGCGTACTCCATAAAATAGAACCACCGATTTCTCGAGGCGAAATGAGGAGAAGCAAAGTTGTTTTTTTCTTTTCCCACTTTTTCTGAATAAAACACTGCAGCGGCGTTGAAGCAGCCTATTAAGCAAAGGCAAGAAAAATAGTAACATGCCTTTAATTAATTATTGTCGTGAATTGACTTTTCCCTTGTCACCGACGGAAAATGGTGGTCGATAGAGACAGTAAAGCCGCCCCTAGATGGATAGATGGAGCTGAACAACGAAGAAGGCATGCATGGTTCAGACACTTGAACACCAGTCCGGGCTATATGTATCGTCGTGCCCATGCAACAATCCCTCATTCATACACAGCGATATTACTTCATAAAACCCACAACATAACAGTTTCATACTCTACAACGTCAGTTCAATTTCTAAGCACAAGCATAAAGAAAACATCGAACATGAAGGTTGGAAGTTTGCAGTTGGTCGTCGCGGTGCTGGCTTTGGCCACTGCACTGACCGTGGCCTACGATCCAGCCATCCTCCAGGATTTCTGCGTTGCCGTCAAGGACCGAACCTCTCCTGGTATATATATATATATATATATATATATATATATATATATATATATATATATATGAATCCCCTTTAATTTTCCCCATCTCATTTTTTCTCACATTTCGTTATATACTCATCACGTATTGATTCTTTCAACAGATGCTGTGTTTGTGAACGGGATAGCATGCAAGAACCCATCCCTGGCAACGGTCGACGACTTCACCCACTCGGGCCTCAACGTCCCACGCGACACCAACAACAAAATCGGCGCCAATCTGACCGTGGTGGACACGACCGTGATCCCAGGGATCAACACCCTGGGGATCAACCTTGTCAGGATCGACCTCGCGGCCAACGGGGGGCTCAACCCTCCCCACGAGCACCCGCGGGCCTCCGAGATCCTGATCGTGGTGGAGGGCACCCTGTATGCCGGGTTCGTCACAACGAACCCGGAGCACAGGCTCTTCGCCAAGGTTCTGGGGCCTGGGGACGTGATTGTGTTCCCCGTGGGACTCATTCACTTCCAGTACAATATCGGAAAGACGCCCGGGCTGGCCTTTGCGGCGCTTGGGAGCCAGAATCCGGGGATCATGAGCATTGGGAACGCCATGTTTGGGGCTCAGCCGCCGATTATGGGGGAGATGCTGGCCAAGGCGTTCCAGTTGGATGAGAAGGTTGTGGCTGGCCTCCAAAGCCAGACTTGGATTAATCCTGAAGGAGACAACTGAATTGAGATTTGATGGGTATGGGTGAGCTGTGTTACTGGCTTGGAAGAAAGGGAGAATAAGGCGGAAGGAAATGTCCTCACTATTTGCTTCCAGTTTAGTTTGTCGATTTGTTGTCAGTTTAGTTTGTTGTTGTCCACCTTAAATTCGATGTTTTGAATAATAATGATAATAAAGCTCCCAATGAGTCTTTCTTCTCGAAGGATACTTGACTAGTGAATCTTAAATTCGAACATGACTTACATGAGTAATGCTTGTTTAGCCATTTGCATGGTGATGTGTATTTAATCGTTATGGTTATAGATAAGGCTAATATTACCGTAATATCCAAATTTTAGCGTGAACTATCCATACTGACAATCGCGTCCTAAATAATGAGAATGTCCTGTAATTTGTATCCTCGTATTCCTGGATAACTACAGTCAAACAAAATTTGATTATAGACGACATGTCCAAAACGTGAGTCGGCGTCAGCAAATAAAATGAATTTTCTTTTATTTTTTTAATATTATTACTAAAATTGATAATTAAATATATGATTGCCGACAACTCTTAAATCGATACTCAATATAAATGGAACTGATTAGTGAAGTACGGAGAATGGAACAGCAATGACCAAGGAGCACTAAAAAAAAGCCTTATGCCAAGGATTTCATAGCAAGGGTTCTATAACCACGGTTAATCCTTCTACTTCATGTTCCTCATGCCTTAGTAACAAGGGTCATAAACAACCCTTTGGGTCTTCTAGCGTTTCCAGTACTCATCCTCTTGATTTGGTTTATTCGGATGTTTAGGGTACTTCACCAATAAATTCCATTGATGGGTTCAGTTACTACATAATCTTTGTTGATCATTTTACTAGATACACTTGATTTTATCCACTCCACCACAAGTCTGATGCTCTAATGTATTTATCCAATTTCGTACCATTGCTGAAAAATACTTTGTTGTTCCCCTTTTGCGTCTTTACTCCGATGGTGGTGGTGAGTACAAGAGACTCAACTCTTACGTTGCCGATCATGACATCACTCCCCTCATAACTCTTCCCCACACTCCAGAACATAATGGAATTGCTGAACGCAAACACCGTCACCTTGTTGAAACGGGATTGACACTCTTACATCAAGCTTCTCTTTCCCTCTCTATTTGGTCCTTTTCCTTTCATACTGCTACCTACCTCATCAACCGTCTCCCATCCACCTCTATTTGAGGGGCCACTCTCTATCCATTCCTTTTCAATGAAGCGCCCTCGTACACCAAACTTCGCGTTTTTGGCTCCACATGTTTCCCTTGTCTCCATCCCTACTTCTCCAACAAGCTTGAGCCTCAGTCTCGTCCTTGTGTATTTTTCGGTTACTCCACCCAACATTCAGCCTATCGGTGCCTAGATCCTTCCACTCATTGCATCGTCATATCTCGTCATGTTTAATTTTTGGAGGATGACTTCACTGCTGCTGCCACCATCTCTCCCTCTCTTAATTCTGGATCGTCCACGCTCACCTGGAACCCTGCTCTTGATGCAACCATAACCGTCATCTCGCCTGTGCCACTGCATCTCATCGTCAGTCCAACCGCCCTAACATCATCACCTTCCTCCTCTCGGTAGCTCATCTCCAACGACTCCTCTACGCAGGTAACAGCCGCTCCCCCTCCCACTGGCGCACCTGTTACTATGAGTATGATGCTTCACTTGCCAATGACACTTGGGAACTCGTAAAGTGGGGTCCTTCTTTCAATGTCGTGGGCTGCAAGTGGATTTATCGCATTAAACGACGATCTGATGGCCCCATTGAGAAAAACAAGGCCCGTTTAATGGCCAAAGGTTTACATCAGTGTCCCGAGGTTGATTTTGGAGACACATTCAGTCCTGTTGTGAAGCCGCTTATAGTTCAAACTGTCTTCTCGATTATGGTCTCTCAATAGTGGCCTATCCTGCAATATGATGTGAATAATGCCTTCTTGCAGGACTCTCTTGAAGAGGAAGTATACATGTCTCAAACACCTGGGTTTGTTGACTCTTCTTGTCCTCGCCACGTATGCTATCTCAAAAAGCCTATCTATGGCATCAAGCAGGCCCCTCGCTCTTGGTATAATGAGTTGCAGAGCTTTCTACTTGCATCTAGCTTCCACAACACTCAATCGGATGCATCTCTCTTTGTATTTCATAAGGGACCAGTTACTGCATACTTTCTGGTCTATGTCGATGATCTGCTACTCAGAGACAACTTCGAGCCTTTCTTACGTTGCTTCCAACAAACCTTTGCTGCCTGATTTTCGCTCAAGGCCATGGGTGATGTTCAGTTCTTCCTCGGCATTGAATTTCATCGTCTCCCTGATGGTGTTGTCCTATTACTCAACGCAAATACATCAATGATATTCTTCTCCGGCAGACGACTCTCTCTAGCGCCAGGTACTTGGATCTCTTCAATATCTCAATTACACGAGTCCGAATATTGCATTCGCCGTTAACAAGCTTTCCCAGTACATGCATCACCCTACCTCTCTTCACTGGCAACACTTAGAGAGACTACTCCGCTACATCAAGGGTACCAGCTCTCACAGCCTCTTACTTCGTCCTTTTTCCTCCCCCTCTATCACGGTTTCCACCGATTTTGATTGGGCTGGCGATGCGATGATCGACGTTCTACCAGTTCTTTCCTCATATATTTGGGTCCTACACTAATCTCCTGAAAATCTAAAATACAGAAGACAATTTCTCGCTCCAATACTGAGGCTGAGTACCGGTTTGTTGCACACGCAACCTCCGAGCTCCTCTAGGTTCATAACCTTCTTCATGGGCTCCACCATCCGACTAACTCCATCTCGGCTATCTACTCGGACAAATTAGGAGCTACTTTTTTTGCCACCAATCTTGTATTTCACTCGAGAATGAAACACCTTGCTTTAGACTTTCACTTTGTTCGACAGGAGGTTCAAGCTGGCCACCTTCATGTTCATCACATATCTACCGTCGCCCAGCTTGCTGATTGTATCACCAAAGCTCTACACATCACGTGATATCAACTACTTCGATCCAAGATGGGTAACGTCGACTCCACCGTCATCATGCGGGGGCGTGTAGAGCATAATATTTGAAATTTGAATATATGTAACCACTAATTATTATTGATTGTAATTAGCTACTAATCCCTTTAATCAGTCATGTAATCTTAGGCCCTCTTGTGTATATATACCCAGTTCTGGGAATCAATACAATCAAGCTTATTTTCCTATAAAAAAAGCCTCGTATTCAATTTATTGGTAATCTTGATCTACTAGTGACAAATTGTTCACGTGTACTATATCTTGCAAAAACAAATAACATGTAAAATCACAAAAAAACATGCAAGCACATGCAAATGTCCTATCCTACATAATTTAATGTCTCTTCTTGATTTTGGTAGGCAACATCACCAGAAAGCAATACTTAAGTGACATACTATACATTTAAACTTACTCTTGTTGATTGGTATTTGTGTTCAACTTGGACCAATAGCTAATGGCGTATTTAAATTCACCATGATCCGCTATCTCTATGTAATCTACTCCCTGTACTCTCTGTTTTCTTGGCTTCACTGCCTCCATATGATTAAAAAAATGAATTAAGGGTGTGTATGGATAGAATAATTTAGATTTGGTATTTGTGATTTGGATTACTAAATGCCAAATTCATGGGGTGATTTCCAAATATATGTCTAGTGTATTACTTGTCAACTTCAAATACATTTCAACAACTAGTGATTTGAAATACGGGAGCGGATCAGGTCAATAACTCATATGGTGAGTAACCATCAGTAACTTGTTCACATCTGCATGACATCAGCATCCCTTCTCTCATGGAAAGTCTTTTATCTTTTCCCCATTAATCTTTAACGGACGATTTCTCTATCGTTTTTAGTCGAAATTTAATATTTTGCACAGATAAATCAGATTAATGTGCTCTTTAAAATGATATCCACTTTGATATATTTTTAGTACAAAAAAGTTGAATAAATTTTTACCAGTCATTACCATATGGTATGCTCGTATTTAATACCATATGGTAAAAAAGCGTACCATGATGGTATGAACATACCAATATGGTAAGAAGGTTGAATACATGATAGTAGAAGTACTAAGTGTCATTTACGACTTTTATCATTGTTTACCACAAGTTACCACCCACATACCATAGTGGTAAAGTATGGTAATTTTTGGTCCAGTATTTTTTTCACCCAGAAATTTGTAGATCCAATAGATCATGATGAACTCGTACCTTCTGAGCAAACGTTTTCAAAAACGACTTAAAAACGAAGAAGTTACCATATAGTATGTAGTTGGTAAAAAAAAAATTTCTCAAAATATATTGAAAATTGATCTCATTTTGTAGAGCACAACGAACTAGTTCCATGTGTGCAAAAAAAATTGAAATTCGAGTTAAAACGAAGAAGATAAGAGCCGATTATGAAAACTAGGGAAAATAAAATGTCTTTAATTAATAACCCTTAGATCTGAATTTTCTTGGCCCACTTAGATCTAAAGGTCCAGATATAGTTACTAATAGGTTAGTAACCATTGGTTACTGACCCTATCCTAAGCCTTTGAATACATACTAAGAAAAGATTGGACCTATTTGTAAAATATTAATATTTTAGGCACTATAGTGTGAGGCAAAACATATAAAGGTACCAAAACGAATTTTTACCACAAAAACTTCTGGACCTTTTTGTAAAATTTTAATGGTTTAGATACTAACTTATAAGGAAAAATAAATTTGGATACCAAACTGTAATTTACCAAAATTTGTAGTAAGTGACAAAAAATGCAAAATTCAAATAAAAGATAATGAAATTTAAAATACAAACAAAATATAAATGAGTGTCCAAACAACGAATTTGAATTACATGTATTGCAAATACTAGTATTTCAAATACATGCATTTTAAAACATGTAAATACTTTACATTTGAAATACACCTATAAAAAACGCAAACTAAAGTAATTTACTTATGGATGTTCATTCATCCCTCTCGTCGGAAGACATTAAAGGGTAATGCCTGTATGTCAAAAGGACGAGGAAGAGTTGAGTCGTGAACTTGTACGAATATTGAGTAATGCATCTCACATTTCCCCTCATAGGGGCAAGAAACTCATAATGTATTTGATTCATGCATGGCCCAAATTTATGGTAAGTAACTGTTGCCTGTTGGTAATCATACAAAGCCCACTATATAACGTCGATATCTCGCTTCCTTTCCTTTATCCCATCATCATTATCCCCTCGTTGCAAGACTCAAGTATAGAGTGCAATCCTTCCCTCCACTCAAAACATGACAACCATGGCTGCTTCTCTACTAGCCCTAATAATAACAATCATCATCTGCTGCAACGTAACCGCGGCAGCGCATAATCAACCCGGCGGCGGATTCAGCGTACACTTGATCCACCGTGACTCCGCGAGTTCCCCCTTGTACAATCCTAACGAAACGCCAACTCAACGAGTCGGAAACGCTCTCAAGCGCTCTATCAACCGCCTCCACCGTTTCGCTCCATCATCACTACCCTACTCCGACGTCACTGCAAGCAATGGCGAATACCTGATGAACATCTCCATCGGGACGCCGCCGTTTCCCATTCTGGCGGTCGCGGACACGGGCAGCGACGTCGTTTGGACTCAGTGCAAGCCTTGCTCCAGCTGTTACGACCAGGACGCACCAATCTTCGACCCGTCCGCGTCTAGCTCCTACAAAACGGTGCCGTGCTCGTCCAACGCTTGCTCTTCCCTGCAGGCTGAAGGAGCCTATTGCTCCTCCACCGACGCCGTTTGTAATTACAAGGTCGGATACGGAGACCGATCCCACACCTACGGTGATCTGGCTCTCGACACTTTGACCATGGGCTCCACCGCGGGTCGTGACGTGGCATTCCCCAAGACTCTCATTGGCTGCGGCCACGACAACGCTGGCACGTTCAACCGCAATGGGTCGGGTATTGTTGGACTCGGAGGCGGGTCGGCTTCTCTGGTGACCCAGCTCGGCTCTTCTATAGGCGGGAAGTTCTCCTATTGTCTGGTCCCATTCGGCTCCGATAATGGGTTGACCAGCAGCATGAACTTTGGTCAAAATGCCGTCGTTTCGGGTGCCGTATCGACTCAGTTGTTCTCCCATGTGTCACAGCCCACTTTCTACTTCCTCAAACTGGAAGCCGTGACCGTTGGAAAGGAGAGGTTGGCATTTGGAGGATCTTCTGTCGTCGATGGTGAAGAAGGGAACATCATTATCGATTCCGGGACGACGGTTACTCTCGTCCCTTCCGATTTCTTAGCGCAGCTTTCGGATGCGGTGGACAGCCAAGTCGTCGGCGGGGAGAAAGCGAGGGACCCACAAGACTTCTTGAGCCTTTGCTACGTGGGGGACTACTCCCGTCTCCAAGTCCCTCCGATCACGTTTCACTTTCAGGGTGCTGACGTGGAGCTGACTCGTGACAACGCTTTCGTTCAGGTCAGCGATACGGTGACGTGTCTGGCTTTCTACGGGAGCGACGATGCATCCATTTACGGCAACGTGGCGCAGCAGAACTTCCTCATTGGCTACGATCTTCAGAAGCGGACTGTGTCATTCCAGCCCACTGATTGCGCAAAGAACTGATCATTAGTGAATTATTTTATAGTTAATTAAATTTGCAGTTCACAATCATTTTCTGTACTGATCGATCGGATTGTTTACTTTTAATTGTTGGGGATTTGTCATGAACTATTTTACTTTTCAATTATCATTCTGGCGGATTGATAAATCTTCTCCTCTGTTTTTTTTTTTTTGGTACACAAGTAATTTGATTAACTACATAAATGAAAGGATCCTCATGTGATCATGCATAAGTAAAATATCTATTATACCAAGCACTGCATGGACACACACATATATATAGGTGTTTGGTTCTTGGGTTATTTACTTATTTTACATGATGAAAACAACTTTATATTGATGAATGTGGTCACAGTCCGTGATGCACATCAACAAATATAAGATGGATAACGATCCCCTTTGGGCATTTTAAATTCTCTGTAATGGGAGTCTTTGACGGAGGGGTATAAAATTAAAGGACTTTGTCCTGATTAATTTATCAATGCATTACTAGCAGTAGCACAGGGCAATGTTCATTGGCCGGAAGGGTTTGATATTTTCACATGAATATACTCAACTTTGAAATACATGTGTTACGTGAATAATTCATTCCCAAAAAGTTATTCTGGACCCTTTTCCTATAATGTTATGGGCCACATATTTTACAATTATATGAGCTATTTGGTTATGTGGGCTAATTGAAAGTGATTCAAATCAGGAGCCCAAAGATGTCTTGGATTGATATGAGCCTAAATAGATGGAAACTCAATACTTATTCACCTTGGGATTTATGGGAGCACACAGTGACTAGTAAATAAAGGAGTTGAGGTCGTGGTCCCCAATACACCAAGACCAAAATATTCTCGTCTTCTCCCCATCAGGAAGACAGAGCTCTCCCGTAAAGGAACTATGGAGGCTTGGTTGAGGAAGGTCACAGTACCTCCTGGATCGTGCTCTAGGAGTATCATCCAGTTCCAGATCATCTTTCAGATTCCGCATCAAGTTCTTGGCGATCATTCGACACGGATCCAAGTATTCCTAGTATTAACCTTTGATAATCTTACAAGATGAATTTTCGGGGAATTGCATATGTTATACTATATTTTCTTTCAAGTGGTGTAAGTTTATTATTTTATTTGAAAAGTTGTACATGAATAATTGAGGAAAGTATTTGAAGTACTTTATTCATGGAGTTAGAAAATGCCCAACAACGTATAGAAAACATGTTAAATAGAATACATGTATACCTTGGGGAGTTCTACGGTACCCTGGTTGAAATCCAGGGTACCGCATAAGTTGAGTAAGAAAATGGTATCCAAAATTTGAATTGATTGATTTTTCTGACATGATACTATACTCTGTACTGCTCCAGTGCTCCTAGTAGGGTCAAATTTGTAGGAAATTTTGGTGTTCGATTGTTTCATTTAAGGAAAAGGTAGCCTTTTGCCATGTGTGGTTCGAGAAGGCCTTCGAAAGTCCTGTGATGGTGCTCGATCTCAAGAGGTTGTGCGCACTTCTTTGGTTTCGCTAGGGAGAGCGAAAAAACCATTGGTTCAATCGATCGAAGCTTGAAGAAGACGATATTCACTCAGAAGATCGCCTATTGGATGGATAACTACCTCCATGCCCAAAGCTGAGCTGATTGGACTTGCATGTTCCATCTGTCTGCTGTAACAGCTGGATCAAGGCTCCAAGCAGTTCCTTCAAACTGAATTTTGATGGTGGATTGCTTGTCGATGAGGGATTTTTCTGGGGGGGAGTGGTTTGTGCTAACAAAGGAAACTTCTTGTTTTGTTTTACATCGAAGGAGAAAGGAATATGTGGTGCGGAAGAAGCGGAGTTGAGGACTATATATGATTTAACATGTTCAAGAGACGGCGACAAGAGGAATTCGGTTGTTGACAAAATTGAAGAATATTGTAGGGAGCTCGTTGACACGCTATGACACAACACCTAACAATGGCCAAGTGTAACCAATGAAAGGGACTGCAGTATAGTGGCACAAGTAATAAATATCGAATCCACGGGTCTCTAGAGTTACTATTACTCAGCTTCAGTTCATTATCTAGCAAACTAAATTTATGATTGATTTACTAAACTACTCTACTAATTACAAGTTGGGAACTCACTTAGGTATGATTCCCCCTAGCTCCTCAATTAGGTCCAAGTTGCAATTACCTATGGTTGATCTACTATTGATTAAACTGCGGAAGATCCTAAGTTAGCTTGGAATCTCTTAAGCTGACCAAACCCTCTTAGAAAAAATACCCGGCAAGGCTAGTCCTTCACCGGGATAGACTGCTAAGGCGATACACACAGATCTCCACCATTGGAATGAATTCCAGTACAAAGCAGTGAATTGATTGACTATCGCACAACCAATTCACCACTATCAATCAAGAAAGCTCTTTTAACCTAATCAGATTCTATCTATCATAGGTTAAAGCAGAAATCAAGAGAAGATGATCAGGCTGCAATTTACTCTGTAAATCATGCCATCAAACAATATAGCATCCAAAACTTCATACAAGAAAGATCCTAACACATGGAACTAGGGTTCCTCAAAACCTAAGTGAAGGGAAGTTACTCCACAGAGAAGAGAGAGACTGCAGAAATCTTATCTAGATCTTCAATCTCCATCTCCAAGCTTGATTCCCGAGCTCCAATGGTGAAGAAATCCTCCAAAATATCTCCAAGAATGTTCCCAAGTCGCTCTCTCTCTCTAGGGTTCGTCCCTTGGGTGTTTGGGATCCAAAAATCCAGCTCCCTCTCTCCTTTGACACGAATTTGGCTTAAAACCAGAAATTCCGACTCACACGGCCAGGCCACACGGCCGTGTGACTCTCCCAGGCTGCCCGTGTGAGTTTGCAAAATGCAGCATTTCGTAAAGTGACTTCAGGCTTCCTACACGACCACGACCCACACGGCCGTGTGGACTTCCAGGGTGCCCGTGTGAGTTCCCTGGAATTTCCACACGGCCGTGTGGCTTTTAGGCATGCCCGTGTGGCTTCTCAGCTTCTCGCCAAACGTCCAAACTTCGTCCAATCGACCTCGAACTCGTTCCCAAACCTTCATTCACGTAATAGGACCTGAAATATCACAAACAAGCACAACCTGGCGTGAAATTGGCCTAAAACGTGAGAATCGACATCTCAAACGGCTCAAGAATAGGGGTAAAAACATGTGCAATTAACGGTCTATCACTCGTCGCAAGATTGAAATAGGAAGTAAAAAATATTAGGGACTCGTGAAGTTTGTGGCAGACTGCAAAGAATCTGCAACACTCTTAATCCACAACCGGGAGACATTTTGTCCATAATTAGCAGGTGAAGGAACGACGAACCGAGTGATATAAATGGTTGGATCATTCATTTTTCCTTTCACTCTATTTGCTGGCAGGTGTGGTTAGAGGAACCAGCGCATCTTCCATGATATTAGCCATGAAATGGTTGTTATCCTTAGAATAGCGACTAGATCCATGAATGATTGGGAAATATCGCATGAGAAGGTTGGGAGAGCGCAAGGTTTACAGTGGCTCAATGTCACTTTACCCATTTGTGATGATTTATGTTGGGTTTCAAGAGGAGGGCGTCCTTGTTGTTGGATTGGCTTTGATATCATTTTCAAATGTTCCAAAAGATAAAACATAAAATTTATTATATATTTTTGAATTTTAATTTTTGGTTAATTTCAAAATGATAAATAATAATAATTAGAAAAATAATTTGAATTTCAATTTTTAATGATTTTTAGGTTGACTGAGCAATGACATGGCGTGTTGACTAACGGTCAATGATGTTGACCGTCCAAATTGACGGTCAAAGCATGTGTCAGGCTAATTTAGTCTATATGCTGCATAGTTGAGGCCAGGATGTCCATTTTTGAAACCACGTACCAAAGTTGATTATATGGGCATAGTTCAGACCAAAATAAGGTATTAACCCAAAAAAATATCATGAATCAATATATCGAATCTCTCTGATTATGAGAGATTTGATATCCTTAGATTTTAGAGATTTGGAATCTCTAAAGTTAAAATCCACAATACAAAAAGCAACAAAAAAACATAACTTTCTACAAAATCTACGGATTGAATGAATCTACGCCCTAAATCCTGTTCTCCAAACGACCCCTTTGTTTCTGTACCTTGTATCTTTGGTTTTCAATAATATTCACCATTTGTAAAAAAAATGATGGAGACTGAAACGTTAAAGATAAAGAGGATAATGTAATGTTTAGTGGGATTGATTGAAGAGTATCGTATTTGAGTGTTTTTTTTTTTTTTTTTGCCTCGTGGTCAGAAAACTTGGTAGCTCATCTGTTTGGCCCAATCATGAGCGAATAGGAATCAGACCCTCTTCTACTATTATGTGATAGCCAATACTAGGATGCCGCTGAAAAAAAGTGCGACACCGGTGATGCTATTTATGATTGGTTGACGTAGTTGTGACATGGAATTGGTTTTCTATTATTGATAAGCCCAAACCCGACGGTGGGGAAAGTAACTCCAAACCAACTTTCGCCTAAACTGACGGAGCATTAGCTTCCGTCTATGCCAGCTCTGAATCCGATAATTTCTCCGATTGCTAGTCGCCGTCTCGCCCGCCACATTGTTTGTTACTGTTCTATGTACTAGCTAGCTAGCTTGCCTTTGCTTCTCTTTCGATGCCTTTTTGTATGTCTCAGGAGTAAACAAATGAAAATGCAGAAAAAGGGTCGTCTTCTTTAGGTTGATGCGCTTAGTTATTGAAGATAGGTACTGCTTGCGAAGCTTTCTTCAAAATTTCTAATTTTGTCAATTGTCATATCCTAGGTGAACTATAGGTTCTAAAGTTCGACAAAGTCTTAAGTTCTCCATGGAAGTTTTGTGAAGGTTGAGGAAATAGACCAGTGTTGGTTAACAAGCACTAGTTGGATTTATGCCCGACGCCACTTTGGGTATCTCAAGTTCCATGACCCGTAAACCAGGTAAACCCCCTATAGTTGCTCGTGAATGAAAAGAAGCTCGTTATTGAAATTTGCGACTGTTAGTTGAGAGAATAATGTATTGTTGGTGATGGTACTTCAGGTGTCAAGTCCAACGAGTTCTGGCCAAGTTAGCTTAGAGAATCACTAGAACTTTATAACAGATCATTTCATCGACAGTTCAACTATTTGTCGACCACTGCACGGTGTTATTTTATGTTCTTTGACTTTGTATTGGTCAGTGATTTACCTTCCTCTTCTTGTCTAAGTTAAAAAAATACTTAGCTTTAAAGGATGAAGTAGTTCCTTCCAACCAGTAGCTGCACCACTCTCATATCATAGCCAAAAGGAGTGTAGGAAGAATCATATGTTTTGCGAGAAGTACAGATGATGTAGAGCATAATTGGGTTGCACTAATGTCTGCATTGGTTGGTGAGTTTACTTTGGTTTCGTTGTCCATCATGGAAGAACAAGAAGAGCCCAAGCTTGAAGGAAAGCAGGACTGCAAACTGTTATTTTCTTTTTAGGAAGAACGTTACAAGATAGTACACATGAAGCAGTTAATTGGTAGCAACATTAGTGGTGGTTTATTAGTTGCTGGTCTTTTTACTGGCCGACTGTTGGTTTGCTGTTGTTAGCCATTTCCATGCCCCTTATTTGATTTGTGGGGAACTCCCCTGGTTGTTCTGGCTTCAGTACTTGTTTCTTGTGTTGTTTTCTTTATAAAATTAGGTGTTTGACTAGTATCGTTTACTTAAGTAGCTGCTAGCTGGTTTAGGAGTCACTTATGACTTATTGATTATGGCAAGTGTAATAGTGAGTCAGAGAACAAGGCCACAACCACCACCAACTGCAATAATCACATGAAGAAAGAACAACGACACCCAATTTATCTCTTTTTTTGTAAACAGTAGAACCTTGTGCAAGCAAAGCTCCAGTTTTCTGAGCACCAAAGAGTTGTAGCACATTTATTCAAAGATAGAATCTTGCAATGTTCATTAAGATTTCACTCAAACATACAACATATACACTGGCAGTTTGTATCTAGTCACAAAAAAACTCAGTAGGTTTAGAACTCTATCATAACATCATTGGGACTTTACTGGAGACTAAGACTCCAAGGACTTCATTTATACGTCAGATTGGTTCACCTCTTGCCCTGAAATAAAGATTAGAAACCAAATTCAGCACCCACGAACCATACATTGCAACTTGCAAGTATTCCAGAAGTTACTTGAAATTTTTGAACAGGTAAATAATTTTCTGCTCTTTCTCATGTAGCAGTAATATATAATATCTGCAGCAATTATAAAAGATCACGAGATACATATTGCACTTAACTATTGGGAGAACAGTTCAAAACTATAAGAAAGAAATTGGATGTGTTTAATAGGATAGGAATGGTAATCTGTGATAAGTAGCTCATAAGAAGCTGGTTGAAGAGTGTTTTTAGGAGTTGCTTACCAATTCAAAGCAATAAAACTACAATGCTTGAGAGTGAAGGGAAAAACTGAACTGCTGAGGCTGTTCCTTTTAAAACAAAATTGTCAAAGCAAAAGTAAAATATTTTGGATTCTTTGTACTGCAAGGATAATGGGCAATTCATTCATAGGAGTGGCTGTAACCTGGATAAGAGTAGTGCAAATACAACTAAATGAAGTGCAAAAGCTTAACCTCAAAGCAACAATGCATTAGCAAAGTAGTACCATGTTTGGTCAATTGTAGTTGTAATCCTTAAAGAGCCCGATACATAGAGAATTCAAGGTCTTGAACTGACCAACTTGCCACAAAAATAGGAATCTTTTCTCTACCAAGGTTTATGCAGTAAGAAAATGGAACTCGACATATTTCATAAATCCCTAAGTCTAGGAATGAACCAACAACACTAGCGTGCAAATAATTTAATTGGAGAATGAATGCATAGGACATCATGGAACCGCACAGATCATGTTACTTGACTATAAGTCAACTTGGATAGATCGTTTATAATTTATGCTCCATCAAGTTACAAACATAAATAGCCTGCAGTCATTCATTTTGTCCCTTCAAATGTTTGCACTCACAAGCACAAAGCTAATGCACTTGAAGCAAGGTAGCGCGACACCAATAAAGACGCCAAAATGGAGCATTGATTTTGATTTTTCTCCTAGCATGCACCTACAAGAAAAGCAAGGCATCTGAATAACGTCAGAACAAGCTTTGGTGAATCAGAAAAGCCAAAGTCTCATTCTTGATTGGTAAAGCTTACGAGATAATGAACGTCCTGTCTGGTTCTGAAGTCAGACCACACAGCCTAGTTATTCTGCTAACTAGAAGATTCGTTAGTATACTAATTAATATCCAAAATGTATGAACTAATATTCAAGTTTGCTGAGTATCTAGATAGCACAGACTAGTATTCAAAACATCACAAACTAGTATCCAAATAGCAGATACCAACTAATATCCACAAACAACCAACTATTATTCAATATGGATACTCTTATATGTTATCTGGATACTCTTATGTGTTATCTAGATACTAATTATGTTCTATATGCATACTATTCTGTGTTGTCTAGATATTAGTTTGTGAATTTGGGATAATAGTTGATTCATGGTGGATATCAGTTAGCAAACTTTGAATACTAGTCTATGCTCTCTAGATACTTTAATACTTGGATACTAATTCATGTATTTTGGATATCAATTAATATCTACTAACGAATCTTCAAGTTAGCAGATTAACTTTTCCGCAGACCACCTAAAAGAAGCTGATGTAAACACATAACAAATGCTTGCACCATATACGAGAACCAATTTTGGGAGTTATTAAGCACCTGGAAGCCATTTATTTGATTTGATGGGGAAAGTCGCTCCGACCTCTAGGAATTTGGTTTCAATGAGTCCAACAGGGATGTTGCATAGGGATGAGGCGACACAGAGGGATACGACTCTCTTCTTCTGAAATCGTCCGGTACTTTGGAGGCGGCGCTGTTCGGTGGAGACAGGGGGACGGTGGAGACAGGGGGACAGTGAAGACAACGACTTGCTTCGCTTCCGTTTTACATCATAAATGTTGGGGGAAATGGCGAGAGATTTCTATGGAGGGATTAGGTAGAGTCTAGAGATGGGATCGACAATGGTAAACTCGCCGGAACTGCTTTTGCAGAGTCCGCAGGAGAGGGAGATCGAGGAGGCAGCCATGTGTTTTTGAGATTCGTTTCCCCTCTTTTGGCCGAAAATGAAGAAGCTTAAAACCATTTTAAAAAGGGTTATAGGTATAATATGTCCTTCTACTGTTACGGTTTATCGAACGTGCCCCTTTACTATTTTTTGCATCAAACATGTCCCTATACTTTGACAAAATTATCAAACATGCCCTTATGCTAAAATTCCGTTGAAAAAAATCGTCAATCATGGTTGAACCGAGATTTAGACAACCCGACATTGGTATGTAGGAGGGAAAATATCAGTTTTGTCCCTCGTTTTATTTCTCTGGGTTTCTTCAAAGTGAAATTATTTGAATTATTTGGCTATACAAAAGAACCAAAAAAATTCTAAAGTGAAATTATTAGGGATATTTTAGATATGTGTGTCGTCCAAACCAAAGTTCGGCGTTGATTAATTGTTTTTGGATGAAAATTTTAACAAAAGTGCATGTTTGATAATTTTTACAAAGTACATGGGCATGTTTGATGTAAAAAATAGTAAAAGGGCATGTTTGATAGTAGAGGGGCATATTATACCTATAACCCTTTTAAAAAAGCTTAATGATTATACCAATTTTTATTAATTATAATGGAAAAACACAAAATATAAAAACTTAAGTTTGTTTGGAGGTTTGAAGTTGGATTAATCAACTCAGTTGATGTCATGTCACGCTTACGTGGATCAATCGCAAAATAGGTGCTGTCGTACTTTTTAGAGCGACATCGTAGTATTGACCTGAGGCCATTTGTTTCCGTCTTGGACCTGATTTGTTAGAGGAGGCTTTGGGCCCTTAAGCCATTTTATCATTTTAATGAGACAAACAAGGAGTTTATAAAAAAATAATTTCAGAAGTAATGGTTATCGCTAAAGATATGCCACGTGAATGGCCAAGATTATTAGGTACAACTATATGGACCTTACTCGATTACTACTCGGCCTTTGCTGTGTGAGATCAGAATTGCCGCCCGCCAGCAGATATGACTCACTGACTTATCAAAACGAATCTGAATTCTCCTTCAGTTCAACTTCGATCTATTTGCCACGGCAAGCGATTCCTCTCTTGCCTTGCAGCCAGCTGAAATTCCTCCCTTCCACCAGGCTACGCCTCTTGTCCGACCACCGCCCGCCGTCCGTCGCCGGCAACTCACTCTTTCTTTGCCGTACTTTCCCCGCGAAACGCAGCAGCGATCAGGGGAGCTTAGAACGGTAACCCGTCTTTCTTCTTCTTATTATGTTCTTCCTAGTTTATGGTTTTCTTATTGTTTGATTTAGGTTTCTGACCACGATTAGGAAATTGGGTTACTTGATCTTTGATGTATTAAGTATTTTCTCATTGCGAAAGTAGGTTGCTTTTTCTAGATTTGAATTCGTCTGGGTTTTCAGTTGGAGTCGTCTATGTTTTGTCAGTTGGAGACGCCTTATTTTCTGGGGAAGTCCACCCAGAAACAGCGTAGCAACGGTCACTGAAGAGAGGATTTGAAAGAGGGTGGTCGTTATGAAACTGTCGCCAGTATGTTTTCTGCTTGTGGTGCTTGCATTGGCATTGGGTCACTCCACAGCTGGACTCCCGTTGAAGAAAAAAGAGGATGCTTATGTGACCCTGTTGTATGGAGATGAGTTCCTGCTTGGAGTTAGAGTTTTAGGGAAGTCGATTAGAGACACTGGATCGAGGAAGGATATGGTGGCTTTGGTTTCAGATGGGGTCTCAGATTATGCCAAGAAGCTGCTTGAGGTAACTTTTTCATTTTAGTTAGTCCTATCACTATCCTCTGTTGGTAAGAAAGGTTAAACTGTAAGGAGCCACACCATAGGTTCAAACCTTGGGGCCGATAATTGCCTTTATAAAAAAGAAATTTACAGGAATCAGTTTGGGTTAAATTGGGTTGATTTTTAGAATGCTTCATGAGAATTTTGACAACAGACAAATGGACCCAAATAAAGAAAGAAATTGATTTACCATGATCGTTGTGAACGGCTATCTTTTTCACTGTACGTTGTTCGGCTTGAACGCTTGAAAAGAAACCCATAGACTTGTGATGTTTCTGCGTTTCTGGTTGTGAAATAAGTGTGGCGGTTTCACATTTATGTTGTGAGGTTAATATTTTTTTATATATTTCAGCAATGATTGATTAGTATGATTCTGTGCTTGGTGTATGGAATAGATGTCTGCTTGCCTAATTTGAATCATGTTATCACTACATGCAGTAATTGCCACCACTTGCTGTGTGTCAATGTGGTTTTGGCTTTGCTAGCTCTATTATTATGATATATGTATTTGAAGTGTGATTCCTGCAAACTACTTTGATTCTTTCTATTCTTCATAGTCTAAAAGTCTTTTGTGTTACATCTTTCTTCTGGTCTTTGTTGAGCAGGCTGATGGGTGGATGGTGGAGACAATAAGCTTATTAGCAAATCCTAATCAAGTTCGACCGACGAGGTTCTGGGGTGTATACACAAAGCTTAAAATCTTCAACATGACCAATTACCGTAAAGGTTTGCCTTTCTTGATTTAAACAGCATTATTTTGCCAAGGAAAATATTTGATGATTTGATTTTGGTGCCCTTTTAGCTCCCTAACCAGTTTGTACCATGATCTCTGTTTCATCCAATCTAATGCATTGTCACTTTTAGCACTAAATATTTACTGTTTTCAAACTGTTTGTGCAGTGGTATATCTTGATGCAGACACTATTGTAGTAAAAAACATCGAGGATCTCTTCAAATGTAGCAAGTTCTGTGCGAATTTGAAGCATTCAGAAAGGCTTAATTCTGGAGTCATGGTGGTGGAGCCATCTGAAGTGGTTTTCAGTGATATGATGACCAAAGTGAACACAATGTATTCTTACACTGGAGGTGATGCATTTTTCATTTTTGTAAATTTTGTTCTGAACTCCAATGTTTGTTCCCTTCATATCTGAATGTAGCTCATGATGGTCAATGCATCACTTTATACTTATTTTCTCATACAGGAGACCAGGGGTTCCTGAATTCATATTTCCCAGACTTCCCAAATGCGCATCTTTTCCAGCCTGGTTTATCCAAGGAAGAGTTGGATTCTAGACCTACACCTAATATGGAGAGACTGTCTACCTTGTACAATGCAGATGTTGGTCTCTACATGCTTGCTAACAAGGTGTGGATGAATAATAGCTAAGATAATTCAACTCCTGCTGATATGTTATTTTCTGGTTCCCAGTTTTTGCAAGTATTTTCCTGTTTGTTGGCTATTGGTGCCAGATCTAGGAGTTGGCCTCAACATTTCTTTGCAGATAATAACTGTTTTATATTGGTTTTTTAGAAAGTGAATGAGGGAGCATAACCACCTCATCAAGGTTACCAATATCGATTTCACGACATAGCATTAGTTATCAAAGTTTTGATATGTGTTCCTTGAACTGCCAAGTGTCTTCCCTCAGCTTGATAGAATTGCCCTTCCTACATGTTACTAACTATTCAATTCTGTTTCTTATATTTCATGTGTTATCTATCCTTACCAAACAGTGGATGGTTGATGAGAGTGAACTCCGTGTTATTCACTATACCCTTGGTCCCCTTAAACCCTGGGATTGGTGGACTTCTTGGCTGCTGAAACCCGTGGATGTGTGGCAGGTACTTTCTCCTTATCCGTGGAAGCAACTTCTAACAAAATATGTTATTTCTTCTTTCAATCCTCAATGTTGCATCAGCTGCTGCTGTCAATTTCAAAAAGTTTCAGCTCCATCTGTACCTTGTTCCGTGGCATGATTACTGGTGCATCAAATCAGATTCCTTGTTGTTTTTGTGGTTTGCAAGTTGACTTATTGGTATGTCATCAAAGTTGGGACTAAACAAAGCCCATTTGCTCATTATGCAGAATGTCCGAGTGAAACTTGAGGAAACCCTTCCTGGTACTAAGGGTGGCAAGAATCCCCACGACCAACTACTAGTTAATTTCCTTTTTGTTTTGCCACTGTTTGCACTAGCCCTCTGCTACTACCAATCTTTTTCCCAGGTCTGTTTCTGAACTTTTTTCCTGGAAATTATTACCAAATGTCGAAATCGTGGTTTGAAATTCGATATATCTTTTATCACTTTGGCAGGCTCGCATGCTTTGCAGGGGTTCTGTATTTGATCATATCAGACACCTGTATTACAGGATTAGATCCAATGGAGCACTTGCCTATAATGGTGTTTCTTCGTCCTCTCCCATCAATTTTACACAACAGGTCCAAATTCTTTTTTCGAATGTTCTGTGCAACATAACTCTCGATTCTCTCACTACATGTAAAATGTCTTATTATATCTGCTGTTAAACTGTATTGGTGCAACAGTGCAAGTGGCCTGCTTATCTGGTTGGACTTTCTGTCGGTGCATGTTTTATGGCTGCATTGATGTCCCTTGGAATTAGTGTTGCAATTGTGCCACATCAAGTAATGCCATGGACTGGTTTGCTCTTAATGTACGAGTGGACATTCACTCTCTTCTTGGTTCTATTCGGAGGGTTTCTCCATTTGATCTACCTGTGGGGAAGGACAGCAGCAATGCAAGCAGCACCACATTCCTCTGATTCTGAATCATCATACGACTCCGGAAAAGGTAAGACTATTAGCACCGGTTACATAGTCCATTCTATGATATGGTTTACTTCTTAAAATTTAGTAGTTCGGTTTACTTCATTCTGGTGTTCTGGAACAGGTCATCAACGGTCAGCATCCTCTTATGATCTTGGTGTGTGGTTTTATTGGGCGGGGATGGCCTTTTTGGCCATTGGAGTCCCTTCTTTGCCCCATATTTTTGGCGTTACTGCACTATTCGCAAGGTGATTACTTATTGCAACATATCCCTGAACTGCATTTGTTTGTTTGTCTGAAATCCTGATTCGTTTATAGGTTGGGGTTGATTGTTGCCGGAGGGATGATTTTGGCTTCGTTCATGACATACGCGGCAGAGCATCTCTCAATCAGGTCATACCTGAAAGGCTTTGAAGATCGGGACGTAACACGAGGGAGAAGCCTATGTTAGTTATGCTGACTGATGATAGTGATCGTAGTTAAGCTTCTTCTTGGAATTCTTTGTTTGTACCATCGAATGTGTATTTTAACATGTAACATGCTGATGAGTACGGATTTTTGTATGTTATGGAAAGGCCATTTGATGGCAATTTGATGTTGAGCTCTTGAAGTTTGTGGTGGCGTTTATCCGATTATGTAAATGCACTTTCCGGGTTTGGAGAGTGTATAGATGATGAGTTGGAGTTGCTTTTGATGTTGAGCTTCAACCAATACAACGTTAGCATAGCATGTAGTATTTTATCAAATATGATGTTAGGATAGGGTTAGAAAGTGTTGTATTGTGGTTGTGGTATTTTCACTTCAAATTGATTAAATACTCATTTAGACCCTTCTCCTAATACATAAATAAAATCAACCTTCTTTTCTAATTAGCTTATAACCCGGCCCGTTGGCCGGATGAGATTAATATAAGGTTGTTGTTGGTATAAGTATGGCACGGGATGTGATCAAGCCATCTTATGTAAATTTTCACCCGGCCCGTTGATAGGTATATTTTTTATTTGTTTTATATACTATCATATTATGTATCCATTTTATCGCCCAAAATCCTCAATCTCTCAAAACCAAAACCATACGATGGCAAGTTGAGTATTTTAGTTTGGGTGCAAAATAGGATGAATATGTTCATAAGAGTATACATTTCAAGAAAAATATTTAACATAAAAAATTCAAAATTCATTGATAATTTGGGAGGAAAATTTATATAAAATAGAGGCTATGCTATAATAAATATAATTAATTATTTATGAATTAACTACACAGGTCAAAGGTGAACAATTTATTAATCTTTCAGTTTCTAGTGAGCTGGAATATTTGGGATACCCGAGAACCAAAGTTAATGGTTCATGGTTCTTCTTCGAGTACCCGAGTATTAATCTCTCCCACTGCCGACACAATTTCCCTCGCCCCTCCATCTTGATTCCTTTACTCCATCGGTGTGGCCGTCCACCTAGCTCCTCTTCCTTCCCTCACCAGTCCCGCCTTCCAACTGATTCATCACCATCGCCGACTTCCGTTATGTAGGGGCAGCGATTGGAGCCGGAGAGGAGCAGCGGACTCTTCCGCCCCACCTTAGGAACCTCTCATTCTCAGTTTCACCTCGATTCCGTTAGGTTTTGGTTTCGGTTCTGGGTTTCACCGAAACCCGAAACACAGCCATATAAGGAACCAAACCCGATTTTTCTTTTGATGCATTGGTTCTCGGTTCCCCGATACCCGACACTTTTGGTTTTGGTTCCGGGTTACCCGGAACACCAAACTTGAACGTCCACTCCTAGCTAGAAGCCAATGTTCCTACTTCAATCCAATTAACTGCTCCAATGAATATGAAGGAGTTTGTGTCAATTGTGATGTGTGACTGAGTCCTAAAATCAATTTTGAATGGAAGCAAAAGAGTTAGATCAAAGCCACCCAAGAGATGAGAAAATAGTATATGAGGAATCGGCCACTACCTCTGACCACCTAAACCTTTGAGATTGAAATTTGATGTATTGCACTGTACACAGGAAACATTAAAGCAAACTTTTTTAGCAAACATATATAAAATATGAAACGGAAAGAAGTTAAGGGAAGAAAATGTACCAAAATATGACAATCATTGACAGATTCATGAACATAAGGATTCCAATTCAGCAGAATAGAAAAAATCATGTTGCTTTGGTGCTGTTGTGAAGCTGAATTACACAGGAAATGAAGCAAGACAGTTCAAACCGCGAGGCAAACTTCTTCTTCTTCATTCGCCCCCTTCCTCACATTCTTGTTTCAAAATCTCCTTAAACCAGTAGTTTGCCGGTAACTCACACAAACCAAGAACATGAAACATACCGAAGATGATTGCTTCTAAACGTAGAAGAAGCAGTTGGTCTTACCAGAAGTGGTTGGAACGTATCTGCTTGTTGTTGCCTCCCCAAGCGGAAGAATGCCTGACAAACCTAGAAACACTCTCAAGGGGTTGTTACTCATGAAAATTACAAAGCGATATTGAAGGGCTCAGGGAAGGAACCTAGATCAAAATATTGAAAGAAGAAGAAGTAGAAGAATAAACGAACATACCTGGAATCCTGAATGCAGCAGCGATCCAAATAGGATGAATGTCAAACACACGTCAGAGGGCAGATTCTCAGAAACCATAAATAGATTTTGAAGAAGAAGCAAGAGAATTTGAAATCCCTGAGGCCTGAAAATGACGAAGGAGCCTTTTAAGTAGCGTATGTCAAGGCAACTCCCTGCTGCAACCCGCCACAGACCTAGAAATCGTTAAAATTAATAGTATTTCAGAAATCACGCCAAGTTAAAACTTTTTTGATCAAGCAGAACAGAGATACGAACACGTAACCAACATACATATATCTACAGCACGAAACTGAAACAACCTCTCGCCTTGGCATAGATTGAATCACTTAGTGATATTCAAAAATCACAATCAGGAAACCAACATACATATATCTTAAACTGATAACAGGACAATTGGCAGCATAACGCAACAACATGACAGCTCAGAAATGCAAGTAAATCAATGAACGACATAAACAACTACAACAAAAGGAAAATGGAATGGCTGGACATGAATATGTCTCCCACAGCAGCTATGAAATCCAGAAACACAAAACAACTTGGCGGTAGGAATTACAAAACTATGGATAATGAAAAAAATTAAAAGAAACCTATGACTGGGTCACTACTGAAATGATACCATAGAGCATGACAACCTTCTGATTAAATTCTAACAATTTGAGAGGCACTGTCTAATATTCTAACAATTGCTCAATCAAGCACTGCCGAAACAATAATTCACACTATTTACAAAATCATTAAAACATTCAACACAATCTCAGTTCAAAGGCTCCTACTAAACAATGGCTAACAAAACAAAACCAAATCAATTGTTATAAGACATCTACATCTAACAGGGCCAAGTTATATTAAACTCAAAAGACCTAACAACGGGCAAGCAAAGACAGTTAATTAGAAAACAACGAAAAGTGAATATTACTTGCAAGAAGGTTCACTGAAAGCAAAAACGAACTCACCAATTGAAAGGGCAGAACTTCAATTACGGTCATGTCAAAATGAACCAAAGAAATATTGTAATGCAAGTTAAGGGCAAGTTGAGTATTTTAGTTTGGGTGCAAAATAGGATGAATATGTTCATAAGAGTATACATTTCAAGAAAAATATTTAACATAAAAAATTCAAAATTCATTGATAATTTGGGAGGAAAATTTATATAAAATAGAGGCTATGCTATAATAAATATAATTAATTATTTATGAATTAACTACACAGATCAAAGGTGAACAATTTATTAATCTTTCAGTTTCTAGTGAGCTGGAATATTTGGGATACCCGAGAACCAAAGTTAATGGTTCATGGTTCTTCTTCGAGTACCCGAGTATTAATCTCTCCCACTGCCGACACAATTTCCCTCGCCCCTCCATCTTGATTCCTTTACTCCATCGGTGTGGCCGTCCACCTAGCTCCTCTTCCTTCCCTCACCAGTCCCGCCTTCCAACTGATTCATCACCATCGCCGACTTCCGTTATGTAGGGGCAGCGATTGGAGCCGGAGAGGAGCAGCGGACTCTTCCGCCCCACCTTAGGAACCTCTCATTCTCAGTTTCACCTCGATTCCGTTAGGTTTTGGTTTCGGTTCTGGGTTTCACCGAAACCCGAAACACAGCCATATAAGGAACCAAACCCGATTTTTCTTTTGATGCATTGGTTCTCGGTTCCCCGATACCCGACACTTTTGGTTTTGGTTCCGGGTTACCCGGAACACCAAACTTGAACGTCCACTCCTAGCTAGAAGCCAATGTTCCTACTTCAATCCAATTAACTGCTCCAATGAATATGAAGGAGTTTGTGTCAATTGTGATGTGTGACTGAGTCCTAAAATCAATTTTGAATGGAAGCAAAAGAGTTAGATCAAAGCCACCCAAGAGATGAGAAAATAGTATATGAGGAATCGGCCACTACCTCTGACCACCTAAACCTTTGAGATTGAAATTTGATGTATTGCACTGTACACAGGAAACATTAAAGCAAACTTTTTTAGCAAACATATATAAAATATGAAACGGAAAGAAGTTAAGGGAAGAAAATGTACCAAAATATGACAATCATTGACAGATTCATGAACATAAGGATTCCAATTCAGCAGAATAGAAAAAATCATGTTGCTTTGGTGCTGTTGTGAAGCTGAATTACACAGGAAATGAAGCAAGACAGTTCAAACCGCGAGGCAAACTTCTTCTTCTTCATTCGCCCCCTTCCTCACATTCTTGTTTCAAAATCTCCTTAAACCAGTAGTTTGCAGGTAACTCACACAAACCAAGAACATGAAACATACCGAAGATGATTGCTTCTAAACGTAGAAGAAGCAGTTGGTCTTACCAGAAGTGGTTGGAACGTATCTGCTTGTTGTTGCCTCCCCAAGCGGAAGAATGCCTGACAAACCTAGAAACACTCTCAAGGGGTTGTTACTCATGAAAATTACAAAGCGATATTGAAGGGCTCAGGGAAGGAACCTAGATCAAAATATTGAAAGAAGAAGAAGTAGAAGAATAAACGAACATACCTGGAATCCTGAATGCAGCAGCGATCCAAATAGGATGAATGTCAAACACACGTCAGAGGGCAGATTCTCAGAAACCATAAATAGATTTTGAAGAAGAAGCAAGAGAATTTGAAATCCCTGAGGCCTGAAAATGACGAAGGAGCCTTTTAAGTAGCGTATGTCAAGGCAACTCCCTGCTGCAACCCGCCACAGACCTAGAAATCGTTAAAATTAATAGTATTTCAGAAATCACGCCAAGTTAAAACTTTTTTGATCAAGCAGAACAGAGATACGAACACGTAACCAACATACATATATCTACAGCACGAAACTGAAACAACCTCTCGCCTTGGCATAGATTGAATCACTTAGTGATATTCAAAAATCACAATCAGGAAACCAACATACATATATCTTAAACTGATAACAGGACAATTGGCAGCATAACGCAACAACATGACAGCTCAGAAATGCAAGTAAATCAATGAACGACATAAACAACTACAACAAAAGGAAAATGGAATGGCTGGACATGAATATGTCTCCCACAGCAGCTATGAAATCCAGAAACACAAAACAACTTGGCGGTAGGAATTACAAAACTATGGATAATGAAAAAAATAGGAAGAAACCTATGACTGGGTCACTACTGAAATGATACCATAGAGCATGACAACCTTCTGATTAAATTCTAACAATTTGAGAGGCACTGTCTAATATTCTAACAATTGCTCAATCAAGCACTGCCGAAACAATAATTCACACTATTTACAAAATCATTAAAACATTCAACACAATCTCAGTTCAAAGGCTCCTACTAAACAATGGCTAACAAAACAAAACCAAATCAATTGTTATAAGACATCTACATCTAACAGGGCCAAGTTATATTAAACTCAAAAGACCTAACAACGGGCAAGCAAAGACAGTTAATTAGAAAACAACGGAAAGTGAATATTACTTGCAAGAAGGTTCACTGAAAGCAAAAACGAACTCACCAATTGAAAGGGCAGAACTTCAATTACGGTCATGTCAAAATGAACCAAAGAAATATTGTAATGCAAGTTAAGGGCAGCAATTCCAGTACTTGATCGCGTACTAAAACCACAACTGGGGTTGGGGAATCGCGTGCCCAACTCTTGAGAAAGAAATCAATGGATGAGGTCAAGGAGTCTAGTTACAGATTGAGAACTAAAGCAACAGTAGGCATAAGATATTCATGTCGCTGTTGACAATTGAAATCAATGGATGGGGTCAAAAACTCCAATTTTTGTTTGACAAACAAATCGAAGACTTGGGGATGGTAAACTGATCCAGAGGGCTCACCTTTTAATCGACCCGTAGAAAACAATGATTCAAAACCTTTGACCCCGATGACGTCGTAAGCCAATCCAAAGCTCCCTTTCGGCTGCACAAAACCATGTAGTTTCACTGACAGAAGAACAAACAGTATAGAGATATCAGAGAGGAGAAACACCAAACCGAGGAAAGTGAGAAAACAATGAACTGGCACTAAAAAGTACGGAAAACAAATATTTTATATATGTACCCTAGATTGTTCAAATCGCCACTGTAGCAACAAATCGGGAGCTGAAGGTCAACCAATATCCAACACTACAGCATAGCCGATCAGAACGTCCCTTGTGAACGATTCCAACCTGAAATTATCTAGCATCATCATCATCATCATCATCATTATCATCAACATCAAGTAAAATGGAAAAGGACGAAAAGGTTCTGAAAGGGCATAAGACCTAGCAGTCTCGAGTTGACTCGGAAGTTTTCTAATCCACCAACATCTTGAACAACGACAGATCGAGTCTCCTCCTACCATTCGACCAGTCGAGTGAAATTTGGGCATACTCACACAGACTCGTCTAGGAGAAAAGAGGAAACAACCCCAGCTGAGGAAAGAGAGAACAAACCCATAAAAAAAACTTAGCTTCTTCTTCTACTACATTCAGTGTTTTTTAGAAAAGGTTTGCCGAGATTGGGGATTTAACATGAAAAAGATCAAATTGATGAACTAAGGAAATGGGAAGGAGAGGGCATTAAACGCATACATTCGCACCTGAAGGCGATACGATTAGCTCAACCCAAAGGCCAACTCAAAATGCTGCAATTGAAGAATTCACAAGACAGAAGGAAGCCGATTCACGCAGAGGAACCCACCAATTCAAAGAGAGTCCTGAACACAGCAGTGGAATCGATTAGAGAGTATTGGGAGAAGCGCCGACTGGGCAGTAGTGGCAGCGCGCGAATCCCCGACCGATAAGAGAGAAGCGAATCACTGCTGCTTAATTGAGTCTACCCGTCCGACAGCGGGATTGACGAAGCGTCGATTGGATTAATGTGATCCTCTTGGTGTTGCGAGAATGGGGAAGATGCAGGGAGTGAGTTCCGCCGAGAGGAAAACGGTCGCGCGCGTGTTGCTCCTCCTGGTGTTGCGAGAATGGGGAATTTGCAGAGTGTGTGTTCCGCCGAGAGGAAAACCGCCACTGATGAAACAAAAAAAAGTTCCAGCCGCGTGAACTTAGTTACGAAAATGCCCCTAGCGAGAATGAAGGAGAAGGCAGGGAATTCAAAATACTAAAAATCTGCCGAAGAACTACTATATATTATAGGAGGATCCTATGAAAACATAGATCGAGGATTAAACGTTTCTTTCAGAGACTTCTTAAGTGATCTAGACGACAAATAATGGCTTGTAGACATTGATGATGACCACTGTATTAAGGTGCATGAGGTGTCAACTAACAATTTTTTTTCCCAAGAAATGTCAAAAGAGAAAACTATACAAACTACTAGCGCACCTCCCAACCTATTACATCAATGAAGCCAACCGACAAGCCGAAAGAGCACAACTCAAGAGGAGAAAGAAGCAGGGCTTTCTGCGCCACTCTATGGGCAACCCTGTTAGCAGTCCGAGGCACTGCCCTAAATTCTAAGGAGACATAAATAGAAGCAAGCAGAATGAAGCAATCCCGAAGCACCGGTCCTCCTAGGGAATCAGAAGAAGCACCCTGACGAACCTGACGAACCACCACTTCTGAGTCACCTTCGATGATGACACGAGGGAGTGACTTGGAGACCAACAGGGAGATGGCGTCTCTGGCAGCCAGAAGTTCCGCGAGGTAGGGATCAGAAACGCCGAAGTGCTGAAACCCTACTGCCAAAGCTACATGCCCGTCTGCTCCACGAACTACTAGACCAGACGAACAACCGGAAACACGAACCGCAGCATCAAAGTTGATCTTCAAAAAATCATCAGGAGGAGGGACCCAGGAGGGAAGACGAGCACTTGGAGGTTGACTGGGAGGAGCAGGCGCAAGAGGAAGAGAAGCAGTGACTTCACGGACATGGAAAAAACACTGGCGAGCTAAAGACTGGGCATGAGGTTGCAAATACTCAAAAACTACCTTATTTCGAGACTTCCAGATTCTCCACAATACGCAAACGTACAGGAGAACATGGGTTTGGGGGTGCTCAGAAAGCATAACATGTCGCCACCAGAGACTGAAATTCACAGTCGGGGCCGAGGCAATGAAGTCATTTAGGCCCATAAGCGACCACAATCTGGTGGCCAAGGGGCATCTGAAGAACATGTGTTCAATACTTTCTGGACTTCTCCAGCAAACCGGGAACCGGGTACGACAATTAATCCTTCTAGACTTAAGCGCTACCACAGTTGAAAGAATCACTCTTAGACATTGCCAGATGAAGAATTTTAATTTTGGAGGGACCAGAATATCCCAAGTTTTCTTCCAGATAGGGGGATCTATAATTTGCACCAGGGGTTTTCGACTCGGGATTAGAGAAATTTCTAAAGCCAGGTGGTATCTCGTTTTAACTGTATAGGAGCCATTTTTTTGTAAATTGCCAGACTCTTGTGTCTCTTTGTTGGCATCTAGGAAGAGGGGTTTTGCGAATAAGACTAACTGTAATGGGATCAAAACAGTAGTGAAGCCTTGGGACGTGCCACTCTCCTCCACTTCCTCTAATAAAGAAGGAGACTCTTGGGGAGTTTGTTATATTCGAAAGGCGGACCAAAGGAGTAATGGGTTTCTCTGAAACAACCCACTTGTCCTTGAAGGCTACAATGTCTTGTCCATCTCCAACTTGCCACCTTAAACCTTGGAGAAGGAGATCTCTTCCAAACAAGATACTACGCCATCCCCAAGAGGGATTGGAACCTATGGAAGCATCTAGTATTGACCCATGATGGAAATAGCGACCTTTATAGATTGATGCTAGAAGAGAGTCCGGATTCTTCCAGATCCTCCAACATTGTTTGGCTAACAGAGCCTGATTAAAGGCACCAAAATCCCTGAATCCTAGACCACCTAGAAATTTACTATGTGCTAATCCTTTCCAGGAAACCCAATGGATTGGATGATCCACATTATCTGCCGAACCCCACCAAAATCTAGCCACGTGACTATTTAACCGCCGACAATTTTCTTTAGGGATCTTAAAGCAAGACATGCCATGAACTGGAAGGTTGGTAGCTGCTGTCCTAATCAAAATGTCTTTACCTGCTTTAGACAAGGTTCGTTGTTTCCATCCTTGAAGTTTTTTAATGAGCTTCTCTTCCATGAAATGGTAAGACTCCTTTTTTGACCTAGAAATAGTTGATGGTAGGCCCAAATACCGATCTTGCTCTCCAATGCTACCCACACCTAACTGTGCCCCTAATTCTAAGGCTTGATTAGGATCCATATTGCGACTAAATAAAACCGCTGACTTTTGTAAATTGACCCGTTGTCCACTCAAGCCTTCATAGGCTTGGAAAAGAGAGAGAATTGTTGTGCATGATTGCGAGGAGGCTTCTAAAAAGAGATAGGAGTCGTCTGCAAAGAATATGTGGGAGACCATTGGGCAAGTTGCCCTGATTCTAACCCCCTCCAGGTATCCCATAGCTATTGTATGTCTTAACATTGCTGAAAAACCTTCTGCACAAATGGCAAATAATAGGGATGAGAGAGGGTCTCCTTGCCGAAGGCCTCTTGAAGGACGGAAATAGCTGGATGGAATTCCGTTCACCAGTACCGAGTATGAGACTGTCGTGACACATTCCTTTATCCAAGATATAAACTTTTGGTCAAAACCCAATTCCTTCATTATTTCGAAAAGGAACGGCCATTCCACTCGATCGTATGCATTTTCCATATCCAATTTTAAAGCCATCCAAGTTTTCCGCCCAGTGGTCATCGTCCGAAGATGGTGGGTTACCTCATGACTGATTAATATACTGTCTGAGATTTGACGTCCTTTTATGAAACCATTTTGAGTCTGAGATATTATGCTTGGAAGGACTCGACTGAGTCTATTGGCCAGGATCTTAGCTATGATCTTATAGATTACTTGGCATAGACTAATGGGTCTGAGATTTTTCATGGACCTAACTTCCGCTGATTTTGGGACAAGGGAAATCCATGTTCTATTGATAGATCGAAGGAGGTGTCCAGAATGAAAGAAAGCTAAGACAGCTTGGGTGACTTCATTACCGACTATATCCCAATAAGCTTGATAAAACCCTGCTGTAAAGCCATCTGGACCAGGTGCTTGAGTTTTCCCCATAGCAAAGATCACTTCTTTGATTTCTTCAGATGTTATCGGATGAATGAGGGCCCGATTTTGTTCTTCAGAAACTAGACCATCAAACAGCAGGTTAGACAGATCAATGCCTTCAGTGAGTTGGGTTTGAAACAAGGATTGATAAAATCCTACTGCTATGTTCAGTTTTTCAGCCCCATCCGTGCACCAAAGACCACTAGAATCCTCTAATCCCCAAATGAAGTTGGCTTGCCGCCTAATTGCTGTTATCATATGGAAATATGGCGTGTTGCGATCGCCTTCCGTTAGCCAGTTAACTCGAGACTTTTGTCTCCAATAGACTTCTTCCATTCTATATTGGAATTCTAGTCTTTCTTCCAGTTCTTGAATTAGCTTCCAATCAACTACTATGTTTTTTCTTGCATTATCAAGGGCTAGATTGAGGTCTTTTATTAATCTGCCTGAGTTTGATGTTCCTCCTTTGCACCAATCTACTAGCGCGTGCCGGACTCTGAGTAATTTATAAAACAAACAAAATTGTAAGGACCCAGTTATTGGTTTATTCCAGACATAGTCAATGATGAGTTTAGCTTCGTGTATTCTGGTCCACCTTATGTAAAAATGAAATAATCATTTGGCTCTTGACATTTCTGGGACTGTCATAAGACACAAGAGTCTGTGATCAGATCCTTTATCAGAAAGATGGTATAGGCAGGAATTAGGCCAAGTATACCACCAATTCGTAGAAACAAAGGCTTTATCGATCTGTTGTTCTATTAAAATACCGTTTCTACCCCGATTAGTCCATGTAAATTTGGGTCCTTGAAACCTTACTTCTAAAAGCCCCATGGAATTGAGAAAATGCCAAAGGGAACGAGCTTTGTCCATTCGCCACGGAGCCCCTCCTGATTTCTCTAATGGGGACAGTGAGCAATTAACATCTCCAATTATTAGGAAAGGGTCTGACAATCTAGCACAAAAGCTTCGAAGATCCTCTAATTGTGATCGTCGTTTTGAGATTACATACGAGAGGTAAACACCAATTAGTACGAACCGAGGACAAGCACCATAACAAAGGAGTTATTATTGATGACCGAAATGGCAATAAAGAAAGGGGTCGAGCCAATGACTGAAACCGAAGCTCCTCTTGGCCAACCGAATACTAGACCCCCCGACAAGCCGGAAGGATTAACAGGAAAACAATCAGAAAAACCTAATCGAGACATAAAAGACTCTACTTTATCACTAGGAGACATAGTCTCACAAAGAAAGAGAAATGACTTAGCCAAATTTCGGTGAGCTTTTAGCGTTTGGAATGTCAAGGTACTCCCCACCCCTTGACAATTCCACGCGTAGACATTCATTTAGGATTTTGGGGCCAATTGGGGTTGGCTACCTCCACCCTTTTCCCTTTAACCTTGTCATTCTCGCCTGGACTCCTTGGAAGAGAATTGACCACTCCTTCTTCTGGCTCTTGGATACAGACTCCTATATTTCTCCGAATGTAGACTCTCGGGGAGTCTGACGATTCTATCAATATCGCTTTCCCCTTTGACTTTCCATCCGTGACGCATCCTATTGGAGAGCATGAAATGGTTGTATCTGCAGATTGATCCATTCCTTCATTATCAAAGAAGCCTATCCCTTCTCCTTGCATGCTAAATAAGAGAGTATCCTCTAAATCGTCAAATAAAAATCTGGGATCTTCACTACAATATAAGTTACCTAGCCCGTATGATGGGGATGGAGCTTGTACTTGGAGAGGTGTGGGCTCTAACACCAAGGGTTGTGCAAGTTGGGCTTTTTCAGAATCCTTGGGCACAGTTACCATTTTATTATTGCAACCAGCCTCAATCAAAGGCTGGCCCAATAGGTTTTCCGGCCCAGAGGAGGCTCCCAGCCCATCCGCCTTCTCCAAGCGGCCCAGCGATCTGCCTGTGCTATTCCTCTCCCGTCGGAAGTCCCGCGGCAGCGTCCCCTGACCCCTTCCATCCAAGTTTTCTCCGCCGAACCGGGAAGGTGCCTCAATCAGCATCGTATTGGATCGGGAGTAAGGTGTGGCACGAGCTCCATGGCGCCACACATTCCCGCCCCAATTTCTTCCACCTTTCCGAGCTGTCGCATAAGAATTCTCATTCAATTTTGGACCTGTTCTGTTCCCAATAATCTCAGGTCCGAATCCATCCTCGCCTGTTGCCAAATCAAAAGAACAGAAGCTCTGGTTGTGCCCAATTCTTCGGCACCTGAAACAAATGGTTTTGATATTTTCGTACTTGAGAGACACCCGGAAAGGTTCACCCATCGAGCCATCTGCGTTCCTCTTCCTAGCTTCCAGTCGATGTTGCAAGGGGGATGAAATGTCGATCAGCACTCTTGCTTTGAACACACAGCCTGGGTTCTCCCAGACCGCGTACATCCCGGCATCCACGACAGTTCCCAATTGAGAGGCAAGGAGCCTGCCTAGCGCAACAGTTCTGTATTCCTCAGGCAGATTCCAGAGTTGGACGAGGTAGGGGACGCGTGCAAGCTCTTGAAAAACTTGCTCAGAAGGAGTTTCCCACTTTTTTAAGGTGAGGATCTTCGAGCGGAGGAACCAGGGAGCTTTCCCCAGTGCTTCTTGACGATCAGTGGCGTTTGAGAAGACTAATTGGAATAGACCATGGTCTGCATCAAGGACAGTAACTGGAGCTCTCTTTGCCCACAGATTATTGGCGGTATGTTGAACGCGATTTCTGGATGGGTGGGACGAGCACAACAGCCTCCCGATCAAGCTCAGGCGAGCTCTATTTTGGCCGGCTTCCAATACTTCATCATTGAACACAACTGGGCCTGCCATTGTTTGGAAGAGGAAATTCCAAGATTGCTCTGTTTTTCTTATCTGGAAACAGGGGATTTTGCTGGGCACGAAGATGATGGAGGTTTGGCCTAATTGGAAATTCTTTATAGGGCCTTCTACTTTTAGGAAAGGGGGACGGTTCGAATTAAGTTTCTGGGCGAAACTTTGGGCTAGAATTTCGGGTTTCAATTGCAGCACCCCGGGATTGGTTTTGATTTTCCGGTCGTTTTTGGAGCCGTTTCTTGGGTTTTTAATGGAGTTAATCTCTCCATTAATTAATTTTGCAAATTGAATTCGCAAATTGGGGCGAGCGTCGACCCCTTTGCGTCCCTAAGGGAGCGCTTTACAAGCTTGAATATAGCTCTGACCTCCTCAATTAAAGCAGGCAGGGACATTAAATGCATTGAATTCAAATGTATTAGCAAAGGTAACGGATGGAAGGACATTAATGGTGATCGGCGGTCAGCCCGTTCTTCATCGGTGCGCAATCTTGCCTGGGATCTCCGGGAACAATGGCGGACGAACTCGAGATCAGCGGCGTGAAGAGTGGAGAAGATTTCGATCTGGGAAAAGGGATTAGATTTGGGAGGTGGGATTCGCTTCTCCGGAGACGGCTTTATATAGCTCACATCACCAGCCATTAAGGCAATAGCCGGTATCTCCCGCCGGATTTAGCCGACCTCTCCCTCCACTTAGATTGGCGCCACCGCCAAATTTTGGTATGACTTAAATGCCGAAGCATCCCAACTATCTGTACAGTTGCTTTCCACAGAGGGAAGCTTTTCGCTGCTAACCGTTCTGCCACTAGATTAAGCAGGTTTGATTCTTATCTCAACGATGGTGAATAAGCGAAGAACCAGCGGCGCTGTCATTCGTGCCGCTCTGAAACGGACCAGAAAGGAGGGGCCGGTCGCTGTGCATTTGGGGCTTTCCGTGTCCGCATCAGTGGATTATCACCAGGTGATGTCGTCTTTCGAACAGGAAACCAAGAGTTTCAAATTTCCTCAGGCGGAAGGATTCATGTGCGAAATCAACTATGAGGCTGAAATCTTGGAGAAGGTGATGGACATCGGTGGTGAGTACCACATTACGGCACCAGAGACTCTTGGACATCAACTAACAATTGTGAAATGAGTAAAAAGAAGAATTCTTAAGTGATGTAGACGACAAATAATGGCTTGTAGACATTGATGATGACCACTGTTATTAACATGCATGAGGCGTCAACTAACAATTGTGAAATGAGTAAAAAGAAGAGCACGTTAGACTCATCATGAAAGAGCTGGTTGCGAAGAATACAGAAAAGAACAAGGTGGGCATGAATTCGGTAAGATATAACCCGAGAAAGGTTTTACTAAAATTGGGAGGATGAAAAATCAAGGATGTTTTTTGGTTTACATGAAAATAGGAAGAACACAATGACAAACACAACATCCCTCTTCCTAGCTAGTATTTTAAGGAAACCACATCTACATAATAAAAGCCAAATGAGAAAATTTGAAGCCCCATTTCAAATTTCCTGCATCTAGAGTGAAAATAGGAAGGACATTTTGGTCTTCACAATTACTTTTTTTTTATTCATTAAAAAGACACTTACTAGGATTCGAACCATGACCACTTCAAAGAAAAGCAAAGATCATAACCAATCACACTAAGTACATTTGTTGTATTTTTTAAATTAAAAACATATAATCACAGAGAGGAAAAAACTCTTCCCCCATTTCAAATTCCCTGCTCCGGGAGCGTTTGTAGGAAGGGTAGAATAGGGAGTGTCAATTTTTTTCTTCTCTGTGGAACGGGCCAACTTATCTTACACATGCGTATTTAAACGGGTCCAGGAGTGTCAATTTTTTTCTTTAAGTCCTTTTATTTCTCCGTGGTGGTAAAATATATATGAAAAGGCAAAAATAATACTCTTTTTTATTGCTAAAAAGAAAAAAAAATTAACAATAAACTAATGCATGGATTCTAATGGGCTAACCGCTAATCATAAAATATAAGAGTTGAATGGGCCTGACCTACACGGGATTTGCCCATCAAGTAAAACAAATGAACATCATGGGTTTGTTATTCTAAAACAAGCTATTTTATCTAGCATAATATATATTATGCTATTATTTTATATCTTAGTGGCTAAAATATAATATATTTTAAAGTTATTCAATGGTTCAACCTCGACCAACCCAATTAGTCCAATTTTTATCATTTCAAATATATATTATGTAATTATTTGATATCATAATGATTAAATTATAGTGTATATTATAGGGAATCGTTTGTTATTTGTTAGTAAAAAACTAAACATAAAGATCTATTTGGTTATTTTTAACATTAAAATGATCCTAAACATTTTCAGTTTCCTTTCAAAATTCTATAGTTTTATTCCCGAATCAGTGATGTGCAAATGGCGAATTGCAGTCATCTCTTTCTTTCATTATTTTTTATTTTCAAATAGAAAGTTTAAACGTAAAGAATAATTAGAGTTTGGCATGGGTCGGTCAAACATGACGAATTTCAAGTTTTGGCCCGTTTTGATCAAGTCTAATTTATAATCACATGGTTCCCTGATACCCGATAAAAATCTCAATCCAAACCAGTTTGGCAGGTGAGTCCGTGTTTACCACTATTTTCTAGGGATACAGGAACGGTGTTCCTATCCCAAATCGTGTTGTTCATTCTTGATTTCTTTAGATTTTATCATGGCTTGGCCAAAAACCAGAAAACACAATGATGACAAGATGAAAGTTTTATAAAGCAAATTAATCGGCCAACGGGCCGAGTAAAAGCTAGCAACGATTGTGAAATGCTCATTTCCCGAGAACCAGTGGGATGGGCGATTTTTTATTCGATTTTCTGGAATTCGGTTTCTATAAAACTTACTCCACCTCATCATATTACCAGAAACAATATTGTTTCACAAGGTAACAGGTACTTGATTTTGGTTCATAAGGCTGATTTTTGATTCGTTGCATCATTCATGTGTCTTTCCTACTAAAATTCACTATTTTTATCACGTGTTTCCAAAAAGAAAACTATACAACAATAAACTATACACCCCATTATATTATCAAATTTCATACCTACCTTCCTCCGGCCAAATGGCCGGGGCCACGCTAGTTTGTGATATTTGAAGAATGTAACACATCCCTATTTTCCAGCCAAACAATGTATTTATGCTCAAATCTCATATTATGTGGGAATAGGCCTAAATACCAAATCGTATATTCATTTCAAACGAGCCATTAATATCGTGTAAGCACATAAGATACTAGGTTAATGCCTACGCTGGAGTCTCTGTTGGTAAAGCAAATGCCATTAATCATCTAATGTGTACAATAATATTTCCTTTCAGTACAATAATAATCTATAAAAAATATATGTAAACAACTGGTCAGTTGTGCATGATAGTCAACGGGCTAGCAGCATCATATTAATCTATATATAGTTAGGCCAAAATTCTCTCATCATCATTTCCTTCTCTCTCTTACTTTCTCTCTCTTACCTTTTCTTTGATTTCTTCAAATCGCGATCTGATGGCCACCGACACTGACGTTGCATCTCCTGGCACTGCTAGTGGCGGCCGGACTTGGACATCAATGTTTCACGTTTCGGATGATTTCGATTGGACTATCATGAGCCAAAGATTGTGGATGGTTCTCTTCGGATTCCAAAGTCGGTTGTCGAGGAAGGAGTTAAGCGCTGGGAACACAGCCTCGTCAGTCAATTTCTTGGATCGCCGCCATCTCTATCTTCGCTTCGATTTTGGGCAAACTGGATTTTCTTCCCTTGAAAATCGTCTTGTGCTTTTTCAATTTTCATAAGAGTCAGTCTGCAGATGGGTGTTTGAAGGGGGACCTTAGCATTACCGCGAGAAACTCATTTGTCTAAGGCGATAGGTCCCTGGGATTCAGGCTCTAGACATTGTCAATTCGACAATTCCACTGTGGATTAAGTCATCAACTGTCCCTACAGAACTATCATCGAGAGAAGAGTTAGGCAGAATTACGAGTACCCTAGGTATGCCGCTGAGTATGGATCAGTCGACAAGGCGGGGTATGAGGTTTGGGACTGCGTGAATTTGTGTGGAGGTGAAGGCTCAAAAGAAACTAGGTTTACACCCTATCTTCATCAGGGTGGAGTATTGTAAATTACCAGCAGTCCGTGAAACTTATGGGGTCTTTGGACACGATTGTGCACTTCCTCCTGGTTCTCAGACGAAGAGGGTGTGGTAGAACAAGGTACCGAAGAATGTTGAGCTCAGGCCAGTTAAACTAGCTAGTGCGGAGAAAATCCAAGAGCTCCCGAAAGACACTAGGCTGGCTATGATTATTGACACTACTCCGCCACTCCGAAAAAGTTAAACTACTCACAAGATAAGTTGTGAGTAGATGCTTACAGAGACAAGAGAAAAGGGTAAAGAAGAAGGAGAAGTGATGGCCCATTAAATTCCCAACCACCTTTAACTCTCTAACCCTCTTTCTCTCTCTCATTTTTTTTTTTTTTTTGTAATGGATATTGGTCAGTGATAGATTGTTTTTTTATGTACTGATATTAGTATGTGATGATAGGATATAATGATGCTCATGCGATGGATATTAGTTTGCGAAGTAATGGATATTGTGTTTTCCATAAAAACTAAACACACTATCAAATCCTAACGTATAAGGCTTGCAACCTTAGTTAGGGCTGCCCGCCGAGGGCCCATGGGCCTTCGTCCCATGAAACAATAATATTTGTTTTCAATGAATGGAGATTAGTTTACGTGGTTCGGATATGTATAGTTGGTATTAGTCTGCAATGGTCAGATATTAATTAGTTTGTCGTGGGTATTTGTCTGTGATGGTAAGATATTAATCTGTTCGTCGTGGGTATTTGTCTGTGATTGTCATATATTAGTCTGTGTGAGGTGGGTATTAGTCTCTATGGTGAGGATATTAATTATGGGCTGACTAGATATTGATCTTAGAGGATATTTGTTATGGTGAACGGATATTATTCTGGGTGGTTTGGATATTTGTTTTGTGTGGATGTGTTATTCTGACGAAGTGATGGATAGAGAGGAGGAGACTCGGATATGATTTTTATTTAATTTGTGGGCCCCTTTTCTATGTAGCTGGATAGTGAAAATGGGCTAGCCTTTTTTTAATTTCTGGGCTCCCTTTTCTCTGTCTCTGTAAGTATATACTCACAACTTACCTTGTGAGTGGTTTAACTAGGTTGCCGCCAGTCACTCCAAGTGCACTCCCTTCTCAGGAGGAGTTCAATAAGGTGGTTAATCGTGCTTCAAGAGCAAATCTAAGAAAACCCCTGTTGTAGCTCTTGTGGTCTTGCAGACGAATGCATTTGCTAATTTGTGCTCATCCAATCGAGTTGTGAGGCTTCAAGATCCTCCTAATAAGGGTGGTCGTGAAGGTCTAAAGGAGTAAAACAAGAGCTGGGAAGGCGGTTCCTAAACGAAGATGACTATTCTCATATGGAATACAAGGGGTTTCAATGACCTCTTGAAGCACGATGTTGTGCTGAGGCATGTTCGTCATAAAAATCAGGTTCTAGCTTTGATTGAAACAAGAGTACAACAAAAGAATGCACAGAAAATAAAAGACAAGTTTGTTGGTTTTACCTTTGAAGACAACTATATTAAGAATAAATTAGGTCAGATTTGGGTGGCTTGGTGTGATGATATAAAGGTATCGGTTTTAGCACTGGAGGAGAACTTTATACATACAATGAGTTCGATCTACCAGAAGGAGTTGTTCTTCTTTACTGCAGTCTATGCATCAAATGAAGAGAAAATTAGAGCTGACACTTATAATATGATGAGTAAATGGATGGTTTCTAACTTTCCTTGGGTAGTTGGTGGAGATTTTAATGCTATTCTTGATCCGTCAGAGTCTGCTAATACTATTGTCATCTCTAACAGTATGAGTCAGTTCAGAGAATGGTTGGTAGAAACGAAATTAGTGGATCATAAAGCAACTCGTCCCCACTTTACTTGGTCCAACCAGCAGGGGAATCCCATTGCAAAAAAGCTAGACTGCTTTCTGGTTGATGAGTGGATTTTTGGTCTCCCAGAGTGTGTTGTGGAGTTTCTTGCCCAGATTTTTAAGATCATTGTGGTGTGTTTACTATTCCCCGAGTACCAGCAAAGTCATTTCCAAAACCTTTTCGTTTCTTTGACATGTGGATTGATCATTCCCAGTTCTTTCCTATTATCAGAGAGGTGTGGCTGAGGAAAGAGTACTCTGCTGGGTTACTTGCGGTTAGACAACGACTGATTTTCCTGAAAATAGAATTCAAAAAGCTTAATAAGGATGCATTTGCTTATATTGCTGGGAGGGCTCAGGAAGCTGAAGCTACTATGAAGCAAGCTCAACTTGCAATTCTAGTCCTCAGT